CAGGTGTCCGGAACTCGGAACTAGGTATGTCTAAACAAAAATATATTGCAAACATGGGTAAGTCAATGTGTTGTCAATCAACTCGATTGTAAATTAAATTGTATTGATCTCCCCAAATTCTCCCAAGTTCCGAGTTCCGGACACCCAATACCCGAGACCCGGCACTCTCGGGTTTCGGGGTTCGGGGGTTGGTACATCTCGGTTTGGGGTTTGGCACTGAAAATTTGACATATATATTTTTGTGAGTGTTGTGCTTCTGGTGTCCATGCTTAGAAATAGGATTTGTTGCACACCAGGGTTCAGGTGTGGGGTTTTTCCACTTCAGTCCTGGATTATTGGTCAATGCCACACATGATAGATTCATGTTTTTGTGCTTAGGGGTTTAGATTTGGTGGTTGATGGTAGGTATATGCACTGATAGTGTACATGTATCCTATGTGTTTGATTCGCTGGTGGCTACATCAGCTGTATGTCTTGATGGAACATATCTAGGCTCACCCATATATGTAATACACCCCCGTCGGCCCGCCCGTCTATGTATTATCCCCCACATCGGCTGACCCATCTATGTAATACATCCTATGTTGGCCCACCCGTCTATATAATACATCCTACATCGGCCCACCCGTTTATATAATTATACCCCACCTCGGCCCACCTGTCTATGTAATAAATATTTTATAGCACCCTTGGCCCACCGGTCTATTTGATATCCCTTTTGTCGGCCCACCCGTATATGTAATACATTCCACGTCAGCCCACCTGTATATGTAATACACCCTACGTCAGCCCACCCATCTATGTAATATTCCCCTACCTCGGCCCACCCATATATGTAATACACCCACATCGGCCCGCCCGTCTATATAACGATATTTGTCTTACATCTCTCTTCAGCCCAGCTGTCTATAATATCCTACTCTACATATTACCCAGATGGGCCCACCCATCTCCATGAATGATCATATTCCCCCGGCCCATCCGTCAACATTAAGGATATATATCATTGGCATACATGGGCCCACCCGTCTCCATCGGAAATAATATGAGTCCTGGCCCATCCGTCATCATCGAGAATATACACAACATGGGCCCATGATCAGCTGGCCCGTCTCATACGGGATATTATGGAGGTCGGGTGGCCCGTATAATACAGAATTTGTCACTGAAGGGGCTCAACAGAATTGGATTCCGTCGGATCATCATCGGAGGCTGCCGATCGGTCAGATGATGAAGACCAACGTGATATACCGGTGGAGTTCAATCCCGAGACCGTGGTGATTCCATTACCGTTGAACATCAGCATTGAAAGGTGCGCCGAGTGGGGCATCGCCGACCTTGTGCTACAAGAAATAGTCTTAAGAGAGGGCCAAGCAAACGATGCATTGCATGCTGTGAGGGTCAACTTGGCCGACAAGGCCGTTCTCTTTCACACCACGGTTCGGTCGGCGAAGTCACAAGCACGGTTGACCAGAGCATGGGCTCGTGTGCACTCAGTTGACAGAGTTCTTAACCTCAACACACAGATCTACGCAAAATGCCGGAAGCAGCTCATCAATCTCGGTGCCGATGACTTATTGATGAAGTATCGGCGATTGGAGAAGGCTGACCTCAAGGCCACTACCGTGGTGGCAGACCCAAATGCCCGCGGTCAAAGAAATAGCACATTAGCCTGGTTTTGGTCCATTGACGTCGAGGGGGATTCTACCAGCAATGACTGGATGAATGAATGTATGTATTTGGCCGACCTACCTCTTCCTATATGGTGTAATTTGCTGGCAAAATAGTTTACCGTATCCATTGGCTCAGGACTTTGGCACTGCGCAATCGTTGGGAAGAGGAGCTGCTGCTGGTCGGTCGAGAAATGACATGGACCGTTGCATTCTTCATGCATAAATCTCAAGAATGGGTCCGCCAAATGCAGGAGGCTGATGCAAAGGAAATCACTGGGCACCGCTGCTATGCAGCCCGCCAGGCTCAAATGTATCTCCGACTCTCACAGCATGCGGAAGACAGCTTTGACAGAACAAAAGGGGTGGCTGAGGTTGCGGAGTGACAGGGGTCCACATGCAGCCGCTAGATTAGTCATCAGTACAATTCTGATCCCCATAAAACTTTTTCTGTGTTGATGTAAACTACCACCATCATGTCCAACTCCTTAACATTGCATACATATGAACTGAGTGACTTTACTCCTTGGGATGCTGCCAATGTTCTAGAGTTTGCCATGTCTCGATTCGCCGCCATCTGGCTGGCTTGCAACCGAAACCACATCCCTCGGACGCTGGATTACAAGGCCACCTTCAGTCGGCACCTTCAGTGGGAGGCAGATGTAAGTACCACATCGGTCAACCGGTCGGCCATTGTGATCTTGTAGCTGATTCCTAAATCAGTGTTTTGTATTTCCATATATCAACATATCAGTGGTTCTTAACATCCACCCAACCATGCCCGACCTTTTGCGCAGCATCATCGGCAGATTTACCCGATTCCAAACTGGAACCATCACTGCCGAGGAATTGCATGATGAATTCTTTCTTCACTGCTCTCCGCATCGCCCTGGAATGACGTCCCACCACCGAGTTGTTCCTAACTATTCCTATGATTGGTGGAAGGATCGCTTTGACCACTTGAGTTTTGAACTGCCGGTCTTGAATTTGCAGGAGGTCATGGAGATGACCCAAGACCACTTTGAACAACTGGTCGGTCATTTTCTCTCTCTCTTTCTTTCTGCTGTATGATGGACTTACTCTCATGTTAATCCTTAGCCGATGGGAGCCATCCTTGCGCCGGGTCCTGCGGTCACCAGTCAAGTGGATGGCGAAGCTCTCTTCAACCAAATTGTGGCCGCAAGAGCCCACCTTCAACATCTCGGCGAATCAATGGCTTCTTTGCTTGAGAAGAAGGCTGAGATCGCCGCTGCAGCCACGTCCACCATGTCTCAACTTGAGGGACCGATTGCCGAGCTGGAGGAAGAGCTCTTAAATTCTGGTAGGCAATTGCCTGGCAAGGATTGACTTCACATCAATTGTGCTTGTCTATCATTGATCAGAACGTCATTACCGGCAGTGTGTACATAATGACTAAATAGACATCGGTAGTATCACCAAGATTATGTTCATGCTCCAAATGTATATAGTATTACTCAATGAATCTCGGTCCTGTCCCATATAAGCTAACAATCAATTATCCCAGTTGTTCTGCACATGCAGATGACTCCAATTCCGACTGACTGGGCTTTACATACCACATGCATCGCTGGTGACTTTGTGCACCAGCTATTTGCTTTCCATGTCGGTCGCCGGCAACAGTCAGTCTTGCCTCTGCTCACATTGGATGTGCCAACAATGCTTGCATGTCAGCAGTTGGCCCGAGTTCTTGCCGATGCATATTTACATCCAAGTGAGTCATTCCTGAATATAGTCTGTGGTTTGCTGACGCACCACAGTTCACCTTGATCTTGATATGATTCGTTACAACGAGGCCCTTAACAAACGCTCTACCGGCCGGATCACAAAACATGAGGAGGCTCTGTCCAAAAAGTTTCCTCATAGTTCTCAAAAGTTGCTTGACACGCCCTCGGTTCTCGTGGATTCTGGCAGCCGTATTATTCTGTGGTACCTACCAGAGGCTATTAGTCTCTGGATACAAGTAAGCCCATGTATTGTTGCGTATCGGCCAACATTCACACTGACACAATAGGCCAACATGGAAGAAGCCACCATTGGCATGGGTCATCTCCTCAAGACAAGCATGACCAGTGGAGAAGAGACCCATTGGCGAACATACGCAGGGTATTTTCATAAGAGCGACCGGGACCCGCTGACTCCAGGATGCATCAACATGGCTCCTTGCTGGTTCCAGCAAGGCCAAGAGGTCAGGCCTGCTTTTTCCACTGTAATGTCTGCTCACCCAACTGTTCCAGCCATATGGTTTTCCTCCCACCGGTGTGTTCGCACCCGAGGTGTCAGGTACGCTCAAGGGGGAAGGAGCTCATATTGTTATAACATCCATGCAGCGCTCGGCGCTCCTAGCCTCTGCGGCTCTGTGGGTGATGCATCCAGAGTTATATTGGACCTCGGTTAAAACCCAGATACAACTCGCCCGATGGGCTATGGACAATGGCCTCGATGAGATTTATACTCGTTTGCAACTTTGGGCCTTGGTGCTCAACTGCGCAGCTGTTATTTGTAACCGGCAGTGCCCTCTGCACAGAGATCCGTGATCTACTCCAGAGGGGTTCGACGTAATGACCAGTGTAGGCCATTATTACGACGGGCTCATGACCTTATCCAACCTCGGTATACAGTTACGATACAACTCTGGCGCCATGGTTGCATGCTCTGGACTGATCGTGAGGCATGGGGTCACATTCACCGGTGATCACATTGTGTGGACATGGTTCATGCGCGATAGCCTTCACAATTTTGTGGGGACACCTCGGCCACAGTATGCGAGTTACATGAATATAGATTGGGATGTCTCAGTTTCAGCCTAGACAATTGTGTGATTCCATATAATGGTACATTACAGTTGCATTTAACTTGGTACATAGTCATCACAATGTTGCAGGTTCATTTGAATCAATGTTGTTGAATCCTTAAAGCTGGAGCCCGAGTGATGGTGCTGACATCCGCTAACCGATGCGCACAGGAGACCCGTTCCACACTGGCCCACCTGATAGAACCCGAGCGTTCTCCTCATTGTCTCGGACGATTTTATCAGGCATCCATTTGTATCGGCTCACCTGATGCCATAGAGGATTTATTTTCATTGGCCGGCCAGATTGCATCAGTTTCAGCGGCCCACCTAATATTAGCAGGCAAATGTTTCTATCAGCTGACCGGATAGGATCTGTTTTATCGGCTCCTCCGATTGCCTCGGACATTCCCTCATATTGGCCGACCTGATGGCATCGGGAACATCTTTCTATCGGCCAGCCAGATAGTATTGGTTTCATCGGCTCACCCGATTGCCTCGGACATTCCCTCATATTGGCCGACCTGATGGCTTCGGGAAAGTCTTTCTATCGGCTGACCGGATAGGATCTGTTTCATCGGCTCACCCGATTGCATCAGACTTTCCCTCGCATTGGCCGACCCGATGGCATCGGGAATGTGTTTCTATCGGCCGACCGGACAGTCTCTATGTCATCGGCTCACCCGATTGCATCGGACTTTCCCTCGTAATGGCCGACCTGATAGCATCGGGATCGTGTTTCTATCGGCCGACCGGATAGTCTCTATTTCATCGGCTCACCCGATTGCATCGGACTTTCCCTCGTAATGGCCGACCTGATAGCATCGGGATCGTGTTTCTATCGGCCGACCGGATAGTCTCTATTTCATCGGCTCACCTGATTACATCGGCCATTCCATCATATTGGCCGACCTGATGGCATCAGGAACGTCTTTCTATCGGCCGACCGGATAGGATCTGCGTCATCGGCTCACCCGATTGCCTCGGCCATTTCCTCATGTTGGCCGACCTGATGACATCGGGAACATTTTTCTATCAGCCGACCAGATAGTATTGGTTTCGTCGGCCCACCCTATTGTATCAGGCATTCCTTTATATTGGCTGACCTGATGGCATCGGGAATTCGTTCCACTGGCCCACATGATGGTGTCCGTGTCAGGGGCTCACACGACTGTATCAGACATTCCTGTATATTGGCCGACCTGATGGCATCGGGAATATATTTCCATCGGCTGACCGGATCAGATAGGTTCCAATGGCCCACCCGAGTATACCAGACAATTGTTCCTATCGGCTGACCGGAGACCATCGTGAATTCATTCTCATCACGTGGGCCGTCTGATAAGCATAAGGCATATATTTTAGATGGGCTGACCGACATGCACAAGAGATATACTCTGCATCGGCCTGCATGATACCGTCATACCCATTATTTGCATCGGCTGACCGGTACACACAGTCACTATTGTCTACATGGGCCGGGTTGAGAGCGTCACAATCCACCATCTTTGTTTCTTGGCGACCGGCCGATATGTCAATATTAAGCAACAGCGTGTATAGGCCCAGCTGTTCCAATGGTACATCAGTTAGTCAGTCAGCCGAATGTTTAACTCGGGCACACACATTCAATCGGCCGACATCCACTGGCCTGTGTGGAACAGCATATTTTCAACCTCGGCTGCCTGTATTTTACAGACTATGTGACTGAATGGGCTCTGATTTCACCATCTATTCATCCGGCCCCAGGAATAAAGTTTGATGCGTACCGGACAAAACATTTGTCTTGATGCCCGTGAACGTGCCACAGGCCTATACCCGGAATTATTGCCATTCCGGAAGGAATGGACAAATGAGTGCTATCTTCTACCCGAATTAAATGCTTGTTGTACTGACAGTTGACATCGTAGAATGTCAATGCTCGGCCGAGTCCATTGGTATTGTGAGCCAGTGCGTTGCACAAAGTGTAGTCCATGTTCATTTGTCTACTCCCAGAATGTGAGACGTGTATTTAGATGTTTGGAAGCCCCTACCTCTCCCCTTTTTGGAAATCCACCATTGAATTGGGCACAAAGCAACCATGGTGGGCACATGCGCACCCACCGATTCCGGTAGCTTCTAATTTGTGCCGAGATGTGTTTGCCTGGTTTACCGCCCTATGGTTGTTGCATTCCGACCGCTGGGTCGAATCTTCGGTGATCGCCAGATGGGCCCGGTATCTGGCTCTCGCCGCCATGTAGCCTTTTCTGTCAGTCAACCAGACCTCATCTTCCGGGTGGGTTGGGTGCAGATGCTCGGCTTTAAAATTTCCATCCATCACCAGGGAACAGGAGTATAGCCACTGCGTTGTAGTGTTTTCTTCATTAGGCAAAGTTATGTTTATCCCTGGCTGTGGACATGCCGGGCAGAACAATGCCAGCTTGCCATCATTCAGGTCCCTCTGCTCATGGCCAAATCCATTCCACTTCAATAGCTTCAGCTGGTGCCACTGCCTGGCTACTCTGAGTAACTCCCTATATCAGTCCTACCAACATTTTTGTTAGTTGATAAATGGCGGCATGAAACAGACTTTACTGGCACTAAATGAGGGAACATGCTGGATGTGATTTGCCTGAGTTTGCTGTAATAGTTCATACAGGAAGTGCTGCATTCCAGGTTGTCCCGAATAAAATCGTCCAGCAATGCAAAAGTGAAGGCTGTCTTTGGGCAGGTGAACGATGCCGGAAATAGGCCCATCTCAAACAACTGCTTGTCCGCTGTGAGTGCATCAGAGCATTGGCAAAAACAAATTGACATGACGTGGATTCCCGAGGTGTCGACAACTGTCATCTGACATCTGCCCGGTGTGGGTATGTTTGCTTCCGGGGGTTCTGGCCAGACAGTCCGAGATCCGGACTTGATAAATACATCAGATAAATCATTGCCCCTGTCCGGAGCCCCAATGCCTGGGGTTCCGAAGACCGAGGGTGCGGTAGATCCCTCCCCGTCATTGGTGTCTTCCTATTCCCAACAGTGGTGGGGGCAAGGTTGTCCTCTGTGGCCAAGGTGAATCTCCACCCCTAACTTGGTGAGAGTTGTCTCTTCAAAGAAATCGCCGTTCCATTGACTTATCTGGTGGAAAGGCAGCAAGGAATGCTGAGTCCGGCAGCACCTCGTGCAAAATATGGGCTCAGCTAGACAGTCCTGGCACTTCTGTGTTCCATCTCCATCGCACAAGCAGCAAACCCGGTTTGGAGGTGGTGCCTCGTGTTCTAGCAGGATGTTCAGATAATCCTGTGTCCTAAAAGTCCACTGCCAAAGATATTCATTTGGAGTCTACGGTTTCGAACTCGGATGAGCCTGATATCAATAAAAATCTGTACATTTTGACTTGCCAAGGTTTTTCTCGTCTTTTTCCTTGAACCTTTTGGAAGTCGGATGGGATTGATGCTCCCTTGGTTGTCATATCCTCCATGGAAGTCTTCGGAGAATCTGTACATCAATCCATCCGACAATTGTTTGGTGGGTGACTTGGTGGGTGATGACTGCACTGATTTGCTTGACTTGGTATGCTCCGCTGTCACCCACTGTCCTTTGATACCTCGAGTGGTTCTTTTCCTACTCCATTTCACCACATGTACGGTTCTGGGAGGCGTAACTTCCTTTGCCTTTGATTTCCCCATGTTTAGATCTGTTAAGATGATGATGTGATGGTCAATATGTGATCTACAATTTCATTATCCCTGTTATGGACTTTCCCTAATTGGCTCCTGTTTGATCTGTGTGTCCCACGCATGCTAATTATCTAAACCATAATCTGGGAAACCTTGCTGAAATTAAACTTCTGTGAACCTTCTTGCACTTCTGTCGTATTCATATTTGTTAAGACCATGCACAAAGGGTAGGACTGATTCTGAGGGGCTTGGCTTCAGCTCGTGCGCTGCGCCCCTTACCTGAGTATGTGCCCTTAATTTCAGATTGGTGTCCGAGGAAAGTCTGAAGACGTCCGAAGGACATCCGAAGGTGCGGGAAACTTCGGAAGGACTTTCCGGATGGGTGCAAGTAACTTCCGGATGAGTGCGGGAAAGTTCCGGAGGAACTTCCGGAAATTACGATGAGGTTTTGTCCTGATACAGATATGTATAATGGCTACTTGGGACTTGTCCTGAGTAGAAGTAAACAGAGGAAAGGCTGCAAGGACAAAGTCCGAAGCAGAATAGGTCCGGAGGACCACGGGAAAGTTCCGGACGAACTTCCGGAACTTTGGATGAGTGGAGGAGCGGAGGAGCGGAGGAGCGGAGGAGCGGAGGAGCGGAGTATCGGATAAGCAGAGCTCTGGCCTAGGGAGAAACTCCCTAGGCCTGAGATGGATAACAACTAAGTTGGAAGACTAGAACTGATATGAGGACTTAGAGTGAAGACTAGTGCGAGGACTAATATGATATTCAGACTGAGGTACTACAAGACATATACACGAGTTTATATACTAAGAGAAATAACAGAAGGATCAATAAGCAGAGTCTGAGGCTATGTACGAAGCATATGCAAAGGTTGACAAATGCGAGTCGGAAATGAACATAGGTTAACAGATCAGTAAGCATACCGGTAATAGATATAACCGAAACAGTGGAATAGAGGAAATACCGAATAGGCTGTGTATAACGTTATAAGAACAGGAAATGAATTAGGAAGCTTATCTATATCGGATCGGTAGCGGATCTATACATCGGATCAGACCGGATCGGATATGGTCCGGATGAGATGCGTGGATATATAGGATGTGGCATTAGGGCAATGGGACAAGGATGAATGATGCAGGCTAGCTGCGAAGGATAAGGGATCTGGACGTGGACATGCGGATGTGGATGTGCAGAGGTGCAGGGATCCGGATGGGTACTGGAGACATAGATAGCACATCCGAAGGTCCGGATGATGGTGTGGGAATATTATCGGATGTAGGTCCGGAATACGGGATATGACAATATTCCAACATATTTCATCAATGACAGGGAGCAACTCAGAGTCAGATGAAGAGCCTCAGAAGCAGGTGCCATTAAACAAAGAAGAAGTGACTATACTGGAATCTTATTTGGAGCAATGGGACTCCGGTTCGGGTCAAGAGAGAAATGTGATCTGGAGGGATGCCACAACCGAAGCTCGGCTGAAGGCGCCCAAGATGGATAAAAATCTCTTGAGATCCCGAAAGACGGTGAGCTTGTTGTCACATGAACTGTAGATAATCATTGACGTCATTGACATCCAGGTCTACAGAAAATGGCTGCAGAATCATGGAGAAAAGAAGAAGGATACTAAAGCTCCTATCAATCTCGGGAGGAAGTGGACGTATCATACAGTGGTGGGAGCTCTCCGGAAGAAGGAGCTTCTGAAAAAGATTCAAGATGACACCGGAGTAAATCCTGGGAAGCCAGAGATGATGCACCACTACTCCAGGTATCTCACCAACATGGTGAATTCTCTCACCGAGAAGGAGATAGAAGATGCTACGGATATGGCCGGACAGTGGAATGCACAAGGAGTCCCTCCGGGTATTCAGGCAGACACTGTGAGGCGGAAGAGCGAGGACTTGCTCTGGTATGTGGCCTGCGAAATGTTCAAGAAAGCCGGGATGCGCCTGTTCATCCTCTCGGCTTGGAAGAGTGAGGATGACAAACTCATGGTTTCAAGGTGAGTGAAATACATCACTTACAGGAGACAATCCTGAGTGATACAAACACAGCCACAATTACAATGAGGAGATCGGAAACGGGGAAAGTTTCGAGAGGACGCATGACTGGAAGGACATCTTGCCAGAATGGAAGTCATATGTGTCAAAACAGTTCAGTGAGCATCAGCATACTCATCTGAAGCTGGCCAACCTCACCTGGTTTGGGTACGGAAGACAATGAAATCGAATCCGACACCGTCGTTAAAAAGGGCCGGAAGGACAAGACATACATATTACATATAGGAGATGATGTGCTTCCAGTCCTGCTGGATTATACCGAACTGGATTCAGAAACCCGCAAAGCAGTTGTCCGAGCTTTCTTGAATTGGCATTACCATGAGTGGAATTCATCTACACCATCGGCAAGTCTAATTGTGGCCGTAGAGGACTGTAGTAAGAACCCAAAGGAACTGGTGCCATGGAAGGAAGTGATACCGAGGCAAGATGAGCTCATCCCCCCTCCATATCTACCAGAGGGGAAGAAACTGCGGGAGCCATCCAGGATGACACGGCACGAGGCAACCGAGCTCTTGCAGTTCTGGTACGACCAACAGGAGAACTGCCGGGATGTCACATTCGAGTTCCATGGGTGGTGGAGCAAAGTAGAGAAGGAAGTCAGACCCCCCGTGATATGGAACTGCAAAGGGGAAGTTGACACCGAAATGACCGAAATGGAAGCAGTGGGCACACGAGTGAAAAGCAGGGCTCAGAGGAAATCTAGGAAAACATCAACCGCACAGGTGACTGTTCATTCGGATGGCTCCGAAGACACAGATGACCAAATGCAGGAGGAGAAAATTAATGCCGCCAAGTGGTTAGTGGGACGGACCCGGCCGAAACTCAAAGTCCGGGTATCGATGGCCATACCGGAGTCAGATCATGCGGAAGAGACATCTTCCGATGAAATCCAGATGCCCAGGGAACATGAAGCCTGGATCAATAAGCTCGGAAGGACATCTGGCAAGGGGGTTGCACACGGTGCAGATAATAAACATGAGGACACATGCCAGATCCAGCAACCATGACCTCGTCAAGAAGTCGCTGTTCGGAGCAAAACCAAGTTCACACCAGCCAAGCAGTCGGATCCAGAGCCATCTGCCTCTCGATACCCAGAACCTCCTGTTGACAATCCAAGGAGGGTGGGACCAGCATCGCGTCCCACTGGTAAGTTAAGGACTGCACAGAGTGGATGTTCAAATGCAGCCGAGAAACCTGCCACAAAGAGGTATGTGCAGGATAAGAGCAGTGAGATTGCACCTAGGGGAAAGAAATGTCCTGCAGAGGATCAATTGCAGGACTCTCTGGCCAAATGGACAAGGAGTCAAACAGTCAATATACCCGCGAAGAGATTGAAGAAACCAAACTCCCGATATGCAACCAACTTTGTCAGGGGTTAAGAGTTTGGGAATCTGGTGCATGTTTTCACCGCCCATCTTTCATATTTTGTACAATAGTATATAACAACTAGGTGAACCGACCAACTACCGGATAGATTCTACTATACATTTTCTAATGACTCAATCACTCGGTCGACTGATTTGAATGCATGGCGCTGAAGTTGAATGAGCCGGTGCAGCCTGCAAATATCTAACCCGATTGTTGTGACCCGGTCCTGGGTGCCAGCGTAACCTCCAAGTATACTCCTATTGTCGATCAGAATATCGGCTGGTACGTGGGATGCAGTCAAGCCATGTGTGGCATTCTCTACGATGGCATGGATGTGCTTGTTGGCTTGGACGCATCAGTGTTGTGCTGACATCCTTCAGAGACCACTTACCCATGGTGTTACCGATTGTTTTCAGTCGACGATTCACCCAAAGAATGGTCTGGGTGCCTTGCAAATCATCATCTATAATTTCTGCATGGGATTGGTGTTAACTTGATGTTCTATAGCGATATAGAATAGAACACATACCAACGGCCGAGCTTTCCCAATCATCTTGTTCCATGTCCAAATCATCGTGGATCGGCTGTTTGGGTTTCAATTTCACGGCTGGAAGATGTCAATGGCATGCATTGTCAGAAGCGGGTAACATACCTTCCGTCCCATTTGTGAGATCATTGTCTGCGTCGCCCGATAGATCAATGACAAGTTTGCTACGATTTTCCCATCCGAGATCGTACACCGGCTCTTCATCGCTACAAAGATCGATGATGTTGTCTGGTCTCAAATTGTCAGCCCCGATCGTCAGTTCCTCAGTTGCTTTGGTATGAAAGAGCTCTCGTTGGATCTGGACCCACCCGAGATCGTATACTGGGCTTTCATCACTGCCCACTTCATCACCGGATGTCCCTTCAGCATCACCGGCAGATGATGGCAAGGCAAGGCCCCACCCAAAATCATACATCGGCCCATCAATCCCGCCACCTGATAACTCCATGCAGGCATCGATGGGGTCATCACCGGATGTCCCTTCAGCGTCACCGGCAGATGATGGCAAGGCAGGGCCCCACCCGAGATCATACATTGGCCCATCATTCCTGCCACTCGACAACTCCATGCAGGCATCGATGGGGGATCCAGATGCAGTGTCAGCACCACCCCACCCGAGATCATAAGCAGGTCCTTCTGCAATCTCGGCCGATTTTGATATATCGTCGTTGTCAATGTCAGATGTCGTGGTGTTTGCACCCCATCCTAGATCGTATGAAGGCCCTGTGTGATTTTTTAACATGCTATTGACAGTGTCAACTCGGCAAGGAACCTACTGGTAGAGATGTCATCCACTGATGTAGATGCAGCAGTTTGAGATCCGGAATTCATATCCACCCATCCAAGGTTGTACGATGGGCTATCTTCTGCAAGCTCATCGACATCGTCTTCCATGATGGAGTCCATTTGTTGGGACTGCGGAGATTCCAGCCTTTTGGACTTGACCCAATCCTCATCAAACATGGCTGCGAATGTAGCCAGGTCAATTGTATGTGAGATATCATGTTAGAAGCACTTACCGGATAGTTCTTGAATGCAGTCATCCACTCCGGCGAAGCACCGGTCAAAGCGGTCGGGGGTGGAGCATATTACCTGGCTGTCCGGATGTCCGATCCGCTTTTCCGGACTCATGTTGTATTCTGCAGTAATATTTAGTACACGACAACCAAAGAAGCTTGACCAAAAGGGGAGAACTTGCGTCGAAAATTCCCATCTTTGAAGCGGCGCCTTACCCTTAGGGGCGTCCACTTGTCAATGGGTATGAAAGCGCCCAACCATTCTTTCAAGGCAGTTTGATATTCATCGTCGGAATATGACTTACCAACAGTAGCAGAGCACACTTGCCCAATTTCCAAAGGAGATGAAAAATGAACTCTTCGGGTGGCCATTGTACGGGTGCTCAGGAATGCTGAATATATGTTGTTCGGCTTGAGAATCCCGCGATTAAATAGTGAACACCAAATGGTCCACTCGCAAGTCTTGTGAAGCAGCAAATGTGGTTGCAGATGTGTGGACCTTCTCCACAATAGCGGTTGTTAGGCACTGCGGCAAGACCCGAATATGTTAATCAATTGTGTCGAGGTACAATAAACATGTGGCACCGGCAAACGCTGTAGCCGCGCTAAGACCACAATTGCTTGTCCCTATATATACATTGCAACTTGGACTCCGACTTTCCTTCCCGAATTTCCATACTACACTTCATTTCCATGTTAACCTTGACTTTTGCAGATTCCTCTACTCATTATTGTGTCATGTCTTCCTCCGAACATGCTAACGAAGCTTTGAATCTTGTCGCCGACAAGATTCAACGGATCATCAAGAAGTCCGAGAAGCTCCCAATGGGAGACTCGGGTTCAAAAACTTTGGCACATGAGATTGCCGTTACTTTGGTAAGTGCTTGCTTTTAATTTGTATTGCAGTTTCAATAACTGGAAAACCTTATCTTACAGTCAACTGCGTTTACTCAACACAGGCATGCTGCAACCTCGGTGCCTCCCATGCTCTTGTCCTGCACTGCAGAACTCCGAGACAAGAGCGCACCTGAATGGAAAACTCAAGGGCTTACCTGACTGGGCCACTATATCCGACCAGGATACTCGCATCCGCGGTCACCCGCTTTTCAACAAGACAATCAGATACACGCGTCCTGTTCCTCCGGCCTTGCCTCCTCCAGTCGCAGCCCCCATTCGCACTCATCCTGCAGCCCAGGCCAGCAACTCAACTCCTTCAGAGGTGGCATCGGCCCTTTTCCCCATGGTAGCTTCCAGCGCCACCACCTCCGAACCCCGTAGCTAAGCCATTCAACCTGCTCATTCAGGGCAACAAATGGAAGGCACCAACATCCTGAACCTGGACAATGAGGATGAAGAGCTGGCGCCGCTACCGGCCAAATGCCTGGCATCTAAATCCGGGCGTGAGGTGTCGCAAGCTCCTCGCGAGCGCAGTCGACCTCGGAAGAAGGTGAAGTCGAAGAAGATTATTAGCGAGGATGAGGATGATGAAGTCCTCCTGACTAATGTAATTTATGTGAAGGTAAGTTGTTCTTCTATTTGTCGGTATTCCGAAAATATTAACGACTCCCGTCAGAATAAGAAGCAACCCGAGGACACTGTCCCTGTAGTCGCTCCATCAGCAGGTGCCAAGGTGTGTCATGTTGCATGTATGGATTCTGACACTGACTATTTTCTAGCCCAGTATTGACACTGCGAAGAAGCCGGAATCTTCAGCGCGCATCTTCGGCGACCAATGTGAGTGTTGCATCAAGTATGATGTCACTTGCATGGTTGCTGCTGCAAAGAAGGCTGGCGAAATCTGGAAGTGCTGCCGCACTTGTGATGAGAAGAAGACCAAGTGTGTCCGGCTGGATCCCGCCGCAGCTGAACTTCTTCGTGCGCAAATTGCGTCGAAGAAGGCAAATGCTTCTGCCGCAGCTGACAAGAAATCCCGACTTGCTGCGGGCCGGAAAGGAAAGGGATCCTCATCCCGAGCCCAATCCCGAACTCGGTTGAAGGGGCCAACCGGTGACCGCGCAACCCACGCAACGTCGCGTGTGCGTCGCACATCCCCTGATCCGGTCATTGCCTCAAACACGGAGGACTCAGCAGATGAGGATGCTGAGGGCGACTATGACACACAACCCGGTATGTCAGTTTATATTCTTGAACTCATCGGTACTCATATATAGCAGAAACACTTGTGACAAAGGCACCTGCAGATGCAGAGGCCAGGCCCGCTGCTGTTGCACCAGCGGCCACTGTCGACAATGACGTCGACATGATTGTCACACCTGACGTTGCGCCCACAGACATCGTAGCACCGGCGGTTCCGATGGTTGAGCCGACACTGAACGACGTCATCCGGACGATCGAGGTCCTTGGGACCAGGTTTGAAGCGATGGTTACTCGTTCAAGTGATCGTGCTGAGGCACTGCACGAGGACATGGTGGGTCGGATCTCCACCTTGGATGGAGAATGGACCAGGCGGTTTGCCGCCATGGAAGCTAAAATCTGGGATGTCAAGTTAAAAAACTCCAGCAACATGGCATCAATCGGACACATGGCCAATGCCATGAGCATGTTCCGCCATACTGGAAGGCCGACCTCCTTCAACCCACCTGCTGGACCGTCGATGCAAGGTCACCCGTTCGGTCAAATCCCAGGCTCATGGTTCCCGAACCGGTTGATCAGAGTGTTTCGGCAGCGGGTAAGGAGTACACCACTGCTTGGGACCTTTCACACGGCCCTCAGCCAGGCCCTTCGGCGAACATGAATGTATCTCCGGTTCGGGCATCCAGTGAGCCCCTGCAACTCCCTCATGATGTTTATAGTTTCCCGCCTGCAAATGCCTTCGATAGTCAATGATTGTTACAATATTTCTTTACACTTCATATCATGTACTTGTAGTTGCTTGAGCTTCCTGTGTAGATATTACCATGTACATTTACATTATAATCCCAGTGGGTTTCCGATTGATGTGCCGGATGCCTGAAGAGAATAGTGCAATAAGGAAACATCTTGCCGGATATTACAATTCTCAACTTCATATCCGCTTAGCCTTGCACAAATAGCATGTATGATACTCACCGGGCCATTCTCGGCCACCGGTTCATTCTTGGGACCAGCCATTCCTGCCAATATAATTGTCATGCATTCATGCATATTATACATGAGCACCTCCTTAATGTTCGGATATCCGCACAAATGTATACCGAGATTTCACCTCCATACAATCTGGCCTATCCGTGTTCTACTGAAACACCCTTCACACACCCATTCCAGCCCGTCGGTATATACCAACATGTCAATCCTATCCGTATTTCGGCCCATCTATATATACCGATACTCCACCCATTGAGCATTTGGACCTATCCACATCCAGTTACATGCAGTTCCGGCCCACCTGTGTTGGCTGAAATACCATTTGTATATACCGATATTGTGATCATGTGCACATTTCGGCCCATCCGGATCCTTTGACAGGCTATCTCGATTCCTATCCCGGCCCATCCGTACATCCTAATATTTTATTTCCTTTTATTCTGACCCACCCATATACACTACAAAGATCATTCACAACCACATTCCAGCCCATCCGTACATCCCGACATTTCATTGTCATCTATTCTGGCCCACTCGTGTCCCCCCAAGGACCCTTCACATACACATTCCAGCCCATCCATATATACTGACATTCCAATGCTGCGTGCATTCTGGCCCATCTGGAAGTAGCCATATCGATATGGGCCCTACTGATTATACCGGGCACAACCTGCATTTGGGCCCAACTCGGATGAGCTGTCTTGCACAGTGACCTGCACCAAACTGGTTCGGTGCATGGATGACTAATGCTCTCCCATGAGCCTAATACCCTAGAAATCACTATGAAACCATTTCCCTCTATTCTAAAGCCAGAATGCAGCTCAGACAAATATTTCATTTCATCTTTTCAATGGAACTTGGACAGGCTGAATATTTTTGTATATTTAATTCTGCGATGAATTTTGCTTAGTCATCCTCAACAATGACTCAGGCTGAATCCCACACATGCCAGGTGACTGTGAAAAATAGTTCTCGCATGGATTACCCTGGGAAAACTTCCTCAAAACCCTAAATACTTGCCTCGCGTCATTTTCTCATTCAACAAAGTGACATCAGAACGGAACACCAATGATCATGAATATTTCTCTTGCAGTGCACAATCAGCCTGTCACATGACCCTTCAGTCACATGATGCTAAATCACATGATCTTAAGTCAGGTGATTTTTGATCCAAATCAAGTGATGACAGAACACTCAGCCCAAGCATGCTGACTAATGCTGACTAATTATGGTCTCATTTGGTGCAACATAAGCAACCCCTGAAAAATGATTTTTGGTACCGCTGACTAAGCTCACCCCTCATAGATGGCGGGAAAATGTAGCACAGCCACCCTTTTTTTTGTATATAAGACCCAAATTTTTGCCCAAAGAAGAGAGCTTTTTAGCCCCACTTTCAGAATAAAATTGTGTGTGAAGTGTGATCATTGTCAACAACAGTGACCTAGGGCTGTCAAGTACCTTCAGCAGTCATTGTAACCAGTAGTCAGCCAGCAACTTTCAGTAACCAGCAAGCCCCTAAGCTCATCAGCATCAGCATCCAGCAACACCCTTAGCTCATCACCACCAACGACGACCAAGACCTTGAGCCCACTGTGCTCAACAACCGACAGAACTTTATTTTTATTTTTTTCTTCTTTGATTTTCTAGTTTTCTTCTTTCTCTTTTTCTCTTTTCTCTTTTCTCTCTCTTTCTTTCTTTGTCTTTCTTTTCTGTCACTCTTTTGTTTTAGTTTTAGTTTTTTTTGTTTTGTTTTTGTTTTTGTTCTTTCGCTCTTTCTCTCTTTTCTCTCTCTCTGTGATCCTCTCTCTTTCTTCTCTTTCAAGTTTCAGTGCTAAGCTTTCATTCATATTTTCAGAAGCTTTTGTGTTGTCTCTTTCGTCCTATCTAGACTCCGAATAGTTTAGTGGAGAGACTTTAGGGATTGACAGTAACGCTTGACCTCACTCATCTGAGTAGTGATACTGAGCCAGGATCTTCCTTGTCTGCTAGACTTTAGTTGTTGAATAGGGGACTTGGTACTGAAACCAAGGACGTCCAGTTCCTGATTCTGTTTAATACTCATCGTGAGTTCCTTGGCAGCAGGTTCAACAGTGAGCTAAGAGTTCTACTGAGCATTGATTAGTCTTGACCTTTGATTCTACCTGTTTGTGCTGAGGGGGTTGATTGCTGTAATTCCACACAACTCTTTCGAGATACGATTGTTACAAGGCATTGTTGTTGAAGGAAGGTTTGAAGAGGTGTCTTTTTTTTTCTTGTTTCTTTTTGTCATCACCATACCGTTGGGTTGACTAGTTTTCTTTCGTCTTTCAATTACTGCCATACCGTTGGAGTGATTTCATTTCAGTTTCATTTTTTTTGTTGGATTGACTGCATTGTTGCTGACCTTACAGAAGTACTGTTGTCTGACATAGCTTGGGAAGTGTAAACAGCCACCCACAAACGACCACATTATCAGCCATTGGTATTTGTCTGAATCGCTGACCGTGGAGATATTTGTTTTTATAGGTGTTTATCTATAGATCATCTATCTAAGAAGACACCAATAGCCGGAGGCATGGGAAAACGCGGCTGCAAAGCAGCTGCAACGCGGGTGGTTCAGATGATAATAGAGATGATAGATAATAGAAATAGACGTAAAGCGGAATGGTAATGGATGTGGTGCGGGCGGTAAATGGATACAGATTGCCAATAGCTACTAACGGTAGGCTAAAGGGAGTTGCTACTGGAATGTCCAGAAAACCAAGCTACTGAGAGATATGTACTACTGCCACTTAAGTATGATGCTAAGCGCTGTCATGGGGAACCAAGCCAACGTGCTTCCGAGTAAGGTATGTAAAGCTATATGTAAATAAGGGTCTATGATGAAATAAAGGTGGTGTGATGCGGAAATGGTCTGATAAATATAATCATAGAATGATGTACCATTGGGTTGGTTGGACATGGACAGGTGGTGTGAAACATCGGCCGATGAAGCACGAGAAAGCACGGATATGTGCACATGCGGGAATGCTGCAGTCATCGCGGGAAAGTAGTGGCCGATGCGCGTGGGTCGCGGGAAAGCTGCGCTTGGTGTAGTAAAGTAATAGGATGCTATGAGATACTGCAAAATAGCCTCTATGAGGCTGTAAGGACTTCCAGTCCTACAACATCATGAAACAATTTTAATCTGGAGGGTGTGTTTGATTTTAATTTTAGAGATGCATTGAGAGTTGAAATTAGGCAGCTTTCCAAAGATGTGTCCCCTGCTCAAAAGGTTGTAGTTGAAGAGAAACGACAAAAGCTAGCTGCAAGGATTACAAAATTTCATGAGGTGGCTGATGCCATGATGGAGGGGATTGAAGTTAATGCAGGTACAGAACATACTGACGACATCAGATTTTGTGGTCCAGATGTGGAGGAGCATGGATGGGAAGGTGCGCATCTTGAAGAAGTTTTAGATGAGGAAGCTCCTGCAGAAGCCATGTGTATTTGGATGCCATCATCAGTGCCTCACAATGGGGCTTCAGCACTTGGCTTGGACGGTCTGCAATCTGAAGAACTGGAATTACGAAAAGGGCAGGCAAATGATTGCTTGGAGAAGTTATGGCAAGCTCTAGGCCATAGGGGTAATTTATCGTTGAAGGTACAACAATTCAGATGGTGAGTCTGAACAATGTGTTGGGTCTTGCAGAACCTAGCTGCTATTCAACCCTAAAGGATTTCTGGACCAGGCTCAAGGCTCAGAGGAGAAGAAATATCATGAAAACTTGCTGAGCACTCAGACTCATACTGGTAAACTGGTGAAAAGATAAGTTGATTATGTAAGCTACAAAAGTGCCAACATAAGGTAAGGTAAAAACAGTCTCTACTAGCCCAGCCAGAAATGAATCCCTACATCGTCAACATTTCCGCAGTGTGGATTCTACATGGCAAGGCACCAGGTCAAAGCAAGAGGTTCTTCGTTGCTGTGTCAAAATTGATAAGTGTATCCAAAGCTATCAAAGGGCAAGGGCTGCAATGGTTTGACTAGGGGTGGATGAAGATATTCCAAGGAATGTTTACCAAGAAATCGAGCCGAATCAGCTTGGGGTAGAGAAGGAAGTCACAGAAGAGAATAGATATGGACAAGGATCCCACAGATTGGCCTGGTTTTGGAACATCAACAACATTCTGGATTCTCAGCAAGACCCTTGGATGGATGAATGTGAGTTATACTTAAAAATCATATTTCTCAAGTGACCAATATTAGTTTACAGGGTTCATTGGTTGAAAGCCAAGGCCAGATGGCAAAGGTGGGAGGAGGAGCTAAGTTTGGTCCAACATGAGATGGGTTGGACAGTGAGCTGGTTTCAATATAAGGAAGAAGAATGGCTGAGAAGATACAAAAAATCGGTCAAGCCTGGGCATCAAGCATATGCTCATCGACAGATGTGCTTGTGGGGAAAATTTGGATCCAAGGCTGATAATTCATTCAAGGATAAGATGATAGTAGTTACATGATTGTATCATTACATTTTCTATTTTGATGGGGAATACCAATTGAACCTTGATCTTGTAGGACGGTTAGGGCTGTTCCACTGTAGTGTGTGCAGACCGGCTGATCATCATGCAAGTCGGTGTAGGGATTCATTTCTGGTTGGGCTTGTAGAGACTGTTTTTACCTTACCTTATGTTGGCACTTTTGTAGCTTACATAATCAAGCAATCTTTTCACTAGTTACCAGTATGAGTCAGAGTCCTCAGTAGTTTTTATGATATTTCCTCTCCTCTGAGCCTTGAGCCTGGTCCAGAAACCCTTTAGGGTCGAATAGCAGCTAGGTTCTGCAAGACCCAACACATTGTTCAGACTCACCATCTGAATTGTTGTACCTTCATCGGCTCATTACTCATCTTTTTGCTTGTCTAGAGTACCCTCCTTCCTCTTCTAACTCTTAAGTAAAGCTCCCCCATTTCATTGCATATGTGTCTCACCACACCAAACTCTAATCCATGACCTTCAATCCAGCTGCTCAAAGCAAGTTTTTCCACTGCTTGGGGATCTTTGAGTCACCATCTTTTCATATTCACTTTCATGCTCGCATCCAAGGTCATCTGTAACAACACTTACTCCAACAAATCCTGGAGTATTGTAGCCCAGGGTATGTTCCAATTGCAAGAAATCAATCAGATGGCTTGGGGTGCGGCTAGCCTCCTTCTATCCTGGCTACTCACTTGATATGTGACAGATAGCCCAGCCAGCATATGTCTACAGGTGGTATATAATGGCCCATTACCATCAGCCTTGGGGTGCGGCCGGCCACCTTCTACCTTGGCTACTTACTTGGTATGTGACAGATAGCCCAGCTGGCACAGATATACAGGGGACATATATGTTCTGGTCATCTGTGACAACGCTTACTCCAACAAATCCTGGAATATTGTAGCCCAGGGTATGTTCCAATTGTGAGAAATCAATCAGATGGAGGACAAGATATATCAGTATCTGGAGTGGAAACTCAATGTGGATCTGGTAAGTTTATCATGATAGCCAGAACATATATGCCCCCTATATATCTGTGCCAGCTGGGCTATCTGTCACATACCAAGTGAGTGGCCAGTATCAGTTTCTGGAGTAGGAACTCCATCATGATAAACTTACCAGATCCACATTGAGTTCCCACTCCAGATACTGATATATCTTGCCCTCCATCTGATTGATTTCTTGCAATTGGAACATACCCTGGGCTACAATACTCCAGGATTTGTTGGAGTAAGTGTTGTCACAGATGACCTTGCATCATGATAAACTTACCAGATCCACATTGAGTTCCCACTCCAGATACTAATACATCCTGTCCTCCATTTGATTTCTCGCAATTGGAACATACCCTGGGCTACAATATTCTAGGATTTGTTGGAGTAAGTGTTATCACAGATGACCAGAATATATATGCCCCCTGTATATCTGTGCCAGCTGGGCTATCTGTCACATACCAAGTAAGTAGCCAGGGTAGAAGGAGGCCAGCCGCACCCCAAGGCTGCTGGTAATGGGCCATAATATACCACCTGTAGACATGTACCAGCTGGGCTATCTGTCACATACCAAGTAAGTAGCCAAGGTAGAAGGTGGCCGGCCGCACCCCAAGGCTGATGGTAATGGGCCATTATATACCACCTGTAGACATGTGCTGGCCGGGCTATCTGTCACATACCAAGTGAGTAGCCAGGGTAGAAGGAGGCCGGCCACACCCCAAGGCTGATGGTAATGGGCCATTATATATCACCTGTAGACATATGCCCGCCGGGCTATCTGTCACATACCAAGTGAGTGGCCAGGGTAGAAGGAGGCTGGCCGTACCTCAAAGCTGTGGGCAATAATCAGGCAATAATGTTGTTATGATACATCAATTACCTGTAATTGTAGAAGGGTAGTGATATATCTACACCTGTAAGCCATAGACATAGACACATGATGTATCAATGATATATTAGTACCTGATATACCCAGACCTTGGACCACAACTGTGAGAAGATGATACTTCACCTACTGCATCACAATACATCACACATCTCAGCATACTAATTACTGGAATATACCTGGAAGTGTCAGTCAAGTGATATATCAACTTTCTGGTAGGTTAGTAGAAAGTTTGGCACATGATATATCACCTCCTACCTTGCTGGTCATTGTATTAATATATCATTGTGATGTATCCTAGCACCCTAGTGTGAGCCCCAGGTTATATATCATCCTGCTAGCTATATATCAGCCCAGCTGCATATCTGGCCAGTGACTATGTACATGGATCACAAAAAATCTACAGCACCGGCCAGCCCACTTTTGCACTATCAGCTGTGCATCCGGCCAGCCCTGAAAGTTGAGGGTATACATGCTGGCCAGTACTGACTATACATGTTGTGACCACAACTCAGTAAGCCCACGTTGGCACACTGGCCAGGTACAAGCTGCATGTCTGGCCAGTGACTATGTACATTGATCACAAAATATCTACAGCACTAGCCGGCCTACTGTTGTATGCATCTGGTCAGCCCAATCTCAGCATGCACATGACAGCTAGCACTTAATATACATGTTATGACTACAGCCTGGTCAGTCCAACTTTGGACACTGGCCAGTAGCAAGGTACATCCAGTGGCCGAGGCTGGCTGGGACACATTCTACAATCATTTTTTATGTCCAGGGCACTGGTTCTATGTAGGATCATGACTAAAGTATGTGCACCTATCACTAATTCACCTGTGGCCAACAGTCCTGCATGCTCCCATCCCTATGCTCCCCAATGTCCAACTAACAAGCAATTCAAGAAAATGATGGAAGCTGCAAAGTCTAATATGTGCCACAAGGTGTTACTAGAGAATGCTATGCCCAAAATGGGCATCAACATGGTGATGGCAGAGGCATCACTGTCAGCAGCTTGCCAGGACTTCATGCCTGATGCAGAGGTTCCAAACTATGAAACTTGTCTTAAGAGCCTCCAAACCCTCACAATGACCATATGGACGACCTTCAAAACAAGGGTGTACCACAAAGTCCCAGTTCATCATGATTTTAACCGTCCATTGGACGCAAACGTGGAGATCATGCACAGGAAACAATGTGTACCAATACTTGTTGAGAATCATGTGTACTTGTTTTTGGTAAGTTTTCTTTTTGTATTACTTCTTCTAATGACTTATCCTTTTTTTCTCTAGCACGAAATGAATGATCCAGACTCGCTGACCCCAGTCAATCATCCTGGCGTATACACCATCATCATTACAGCTGTGTGGGAAACTGGCTTCCACGCAGAGCTTGACATAGACAATGTGGACACTCTCAATAATCTGATTTCACTCAGCGGTACTGCAACACATTCAGTCCTCATGGAGCATCTCAGCAGGAGACGTCAGATGGTGGAGTTTTCAGCATCTTCATCACCTGGAGCAGAGTATTGTTTCATTCAACAACACAATCTCACCATTCATAATGTTCCTGCAGTATATCACACTTCCATTTCTTTACAGAAAGATTTAGTTGAATGAGGTATATCTACTATCAGTACTGCTAGTATGTCTGATGCTCTGTAGATATGTAGATAAGATTTGATTACTTTGTGATAATCTTGCACTTTCATAAGATTCACTCAATATATATTGTTTTGGAAATATTTGGGATGCTCGCTCAGGCTCGCTCGCGCAGAAACTTAAAAGTAGTGATGTGCACGGCCCAGCTTCAGGCCTGGGCCAGGCCGGGCCGGGCCTGAATAGGCCAAGCCGAGCCGAGCCAAAGTCATGGCCTGGTGACAGCTTTGGCCTGGCCTGGGAATATGAAAAGCCAAAGCCGCCGGCTCAGGCCGCGGCTTACAGTACTGTGCCTGCAGCGCCCAAGCTCAAACTGTTTGACGATCGTTGATCGAAAATCTGACTTCTGTCTCATTTTAGCTTTTCGATCACTTACATTGTGTGCATGTTCATGTGGTAAGAATCACAGTGAGTCGCTGTAGAGACTCGTGCATCTCATAGTGTGATATGGCGCTTTACACTAGGGAGTATACAGCACCAACTCGCAGCATCACTCTGTGTACCATCCACAGTGATTCCTATATGACGCGCAGCTTTCCCGCGCAACGCGTGCCATGCGCGCACCATTCCCGCGCTTCACGATGTATACGCGCGCGCGCGTTCCCGCGCTTGCGCGCCCTATAGCGCCAGCCATCCAGATGCATCCATCCACTGTCCACCAAGCTCCCTAGTGCGTATATTTCCATTTCCTTTATTAGCATAGTTCCACCTTTATTTTTATCATAGTTTCTCACTCATATATATTTTTACATACCTACTCGGTAGCGCTTCGGCTCCGCATGAGCGCGCTTAGGCGCGCTATATAAGCGCCAGCAGTACATACTATTATTTACCTTACTTTTCACCCAACTTTACCTAGTACTTACTACTTAGAAAGTCGCAGTAGAAATCTATTCATTAGCACAACACATCTCACATCCTTTATCTTGCTTATATCTTCACATAAGTTTAGTCTCTCTTATTTCCGCTTACACGCGCGCGCTTTCCCGCGCTTCGCGCTAATACGCGCGCGCGTTCCCGCGCCTTCGTACCTTGCGCGCACCTGCGCTTTCTTGCGCTTCGCTGAAGCGCGTACCTCTAGATCTCCGCTGCACCTGCTTCCCCTTTAGGGTCGAATGCACTTGCCATCTCAAGTATCGCAGACTAGGCAATGCACGACCTACAACTTTTTAGATACAGTCAGGAGCATTTCTTTGTTCCTCTCAGTATTGTTGTTTCTACATCGCAGACATTCTTTCCAAGCTCGACACAACTCACTTGCCACAGTGTTGGCAGATAGCACACTTGTCATTTTCAGTAATCTGCCCTCCTTTGCAAGTTTCTTGCAACTTCAAATCGCAAGCTTGGCGACAACCATCACATACATTTTCAGACAAAAGCCATGCATTTGTGACAGTAATTTTTATATTTTTATATCTGCCTCTCACCACTTGTCTCTGATGGTTGGAACTGTCCACACAGACAGCGACGACGAATGTCGTGCACACCGGCCGGTCCGCCAAACCAAGCCTACCACCACCCTTCTCCAACATTCTGAGAAGACGGCTCTCCCATCACAAACCAAGGCTATCAATGCCTTTCGTGCAGCAGAGGCTGCGAAGTTGCCTGATACTCGACATGCTTCCAACGCTGGCGCTGATCAAACCACCCCCAGCATATCCCTGAATTCACCTCCGGGTGACACTGCACCATCAGGTTCAAGCTTGGCTGCACTCGAAAAGGGTAAGAGGACTTGCGTTGAAGAAGTTCTTGATGACAAGTCTGGTGGCAAGGAACATGAAGATGTGCGCACCAATCCACGACGTAAGTGTATTTGCCATCTGAGTTGTGAATCATACAACTGATACCAAACTTTTGGCAGCAAAACAGTTGCGCAAATTAGCTGCGCCGGTTGACGATTTAGTCGACAATGATGGTATTCCGATCAATGTCGACGTCCAACCTATTGCAAACATGGCTCCAACATGCGAAGGCAAAACTGCCGATCTTGATGCGTTTTTTGGCGCGATGACCTGCACCAAACTGGTTCGGTGCATGGATGACTAATACTCTCCTATGAGCCCTATGCCCTATGAAATCATTTTTCCTGTGATCTGAAGTCAGACTAAGGCTAAGGGAATATCTTTCGCTTTTTTTCATTTTACGAGATTATACACGAGTGGACTGAATATTTTTGTACATTTATTTTTGCAATGAGTTTTGCTTAGTCAGCCATGAGGATGACTCACAAAGATTCTCACACATATCAGGTGACTATGAAAAATATGTTTGCATAAGGTTACCCTGTGGGAAAGCTTACAAATCCTTAAATACGCATCTTATATCATTATGCTACCAATCAATTTATCAGCCACAGATTGCACAAACATATGTACACAATATGTAATCACTTTCTCACTCCTTGTCTAGCTGAGTCATCAAGGGACACCTGACCCATGGGCTATACACAGCTCTTGCTGGCTCATCATTATACCAACAAGAGTTATGAATATTTACTTTTTGACTCAAAGATATCGTGTGACTTGGTACTATCACAGTAAAGTTACAACTTTAAGTACGAGAAACTAGTAGTATAGCCACCAATTTGTCTATATAAGGAGCTGTTTCTTGCCCAATAAATGCATGCCCAAGTGCCACTTTTACCCTCTCAGAATAAAATTGTGAGTGAAGTGTGAATCAGCATTCAGCAAGTGTGGTTCAAGGTTGGAGCTCACTGTGCTCAACAACCAGCACAACATATCTGAGCTCACTGTGTTGAACATCTAGCACATACCTTGAGCTCACTGTGTCTGACAACTAGCAAGACTAGTGTTCTTTTTTTTATTTGTGTTTTTCTCTTTTTGTTTTATTCTGTGTCTGTGTCTGTGTCTGTGTCTCTCTGAGATTGTTTCTGAGATTGTTTTTCTCTCTGTCTCTCTGGAAACGTGTCTGAGATTTGTGACTGTGAAACTAACATCTCTGTTTCTCTGTTTCACTCTCTCTGTCTCTCAAGTTTGAGTGTGGTGTGTTGGTGACTGTGTGTGCTGACCATCTCCTTTGATCGCTGTCTCTGTGTGTTGTGATCATTGTTGCTAACAGTCTCTGTGAACGTGACTGTGTTGGTGTTTCTGTTGTAGCAGTCTGATTGTGTTGCTGTTCCTTCCTATCAACTTTCTCTCAAGTATCAAAGTTTCAGTCTCATTCTTACCCAGAAGTTTGGTGTTGTCTCTTTTGTCCACTGAAGACTTAGGATAGTCTTGTGGGGAGACTTTAGGTGTTGACAGTGAATCGCTGACCTCAGACATCTGCGTGTTATACTGGGCCAAAGTAGTCATTTGCGAGTTAGGCTTTAGCTATTGAAAAGGGGACTTGGTATTGAAGTCCAAGGCTGCCCGTTCCTGAGTCTGTTTGAATACTCATTGTGAGTTCCTTGGCAGCAGGTTCAATATTAGGCTAAGAGTGCTACGGTAGCTCTGACTAGGTCTGACAGTAGTCTCACCTGTTTTGTTCTTGAGGGGGATTATCATTGTAACTCCACACAACTTGCTGCACTAAGTTTGTGTACGAATCATTGTTGCTGTGTGAAGTGTTAGGAGGAGTGTCTGTTTGTATTGTGTCATCTCTATACTGTTAGAGTGACTGTGTCTCTTGATATTTTTGCTGTTGTTTGGTTGTTGTTGTTGTTGATCGCTGACCAATCGGGTTCTGTTTCTGTTATCATTGTGCTTCATATCCATACTGTTGGATTGACTGTTGACTGTTGATTGTTGACTGCTGACTGTTGTGCAGAGCTATACATTGCTGACTGTACCTTAGGAGCAAAGACAAGCCACCCACGAACGACCACGTTATCAGTCATTGGTATTTGTCTGAATCGCTGACCGTGGAGATATTTGGTTTTATAGGTGTTTATCTATAGATCATCTATCTAAGAAGACAGCGACGTTCGAACATGCAGGAACTAATGGCAAGGTTAAAAAGCATCGAAAGTGCAAGATATGTTTGTAAGTCTACGAGGTCATTGTTGTGCTCGCTCACTCACACTGAATCAACAGGAAGCAATGTATTCTTGTGAATGAATCTACAACACTTCATTGTCACGCCGAGGCTAATTTTGCGGTGCGTATTTTTGCACATATGGTTCATTGTGCTTATATTAACGACTCAGATTACACTGTAGGGAAAGTATCGACAGTGGGCAAAGAAGCACTCTTTTTAGTCTATGCTACCTGGCAATATCAAAGCTCGGAAGGAGAAAGCCGAGCAGGCGCAGCAGACCATCAATTCGCACCTGACTGAACGCAAACTCACTGAGCGAGTTATACCATACTCTGATAAGTTATTCAAATGAGCCACGATCGAATGGTTAGTTGCAACAGACCAAGTATGTATGATTCCCTTGATATAATAGTTTGACCATTGACACACTTTAACCTAGCCTATCCAAGCCCTCAAGCACCCAAAGTTCCAAGACATGATCGATGTCGCTTCATGGGCAACGAACGGAGTCAAAATCCCCAATCGTAAAGCCACCCGTGCTGAGATCATGCGAATATTCAAGAATCACCTGACAAGACTCCAGACAACGTTAAATGTGAGTCGCAATCTAGTGCTGCGTGCTGCTTCATTACATCTCATTTTTCAACACAGAGCGCTGCTGTTAGTGGCGCAATAAATATCACTTGCGACGCATGGCAAGCTACCAATATCGATGGATATTTCGCCATCACTGGACACTGGATCGAAGAGAAGTCAACAATGCTTTGGGAGAGTGAAACGGCACTTCTCAGCTTTACCCAGCTCAACAATGCACACAATGGGAAGCGTCTTGGAGGTGCGCTGTTCAAAGTTCTAGATCATGTTGGTATCGCACATAAGGCATGTCATCTTCGCTCTTCGCATTCAGCTTGGCTTTGTCTAATTATGATATATAGTTGGGCCATGTTACTTGTGATAATGCTGCCAACAATGGCACAATGCTTGAGGAGTTCGCTCGACTCTATGAAGGACGATTCAAGAAGAATTTCCCTTGGCGTGAACAAAGGATCAAGTATGTTGCTCGTTGTCTCGCAGCTAACATGACTCACAATTGTGTTTACAGCTGTCTCGCTCATGTAATTAATCTCGGTACCCAAGTACTGATCAGTACATACAGCAAAGCGCCGCATTACGAACCTCACAACCCCCATGCTCACGAGCCAGATACCACCATGCATCGTGAGCGTCATGAGATTGGCCTCATATGTTCAATATGTGTAAAGGTGATTTGTTTCTCTTTGCGCACAATGATTTACTGATTTTTTCAAAGGAGCGATCTTCCGCGAAGCGCAAGGAACTATACAAAATGGTCCAAGTCAAGGCTGGCATCTCCCGCCCTACACAACTCCTTCTGGACATGAAAGTTTGTTGGTCGTCGACCTACGTGATGATTAATCGTGCAGAAACCAATCAAAAGGTGAGTTGCCCTCCACCGCACGAAGTTGCACTCATCTGTTTTGACTGATTTCCCGTTGCCCAACAACAGCACATTGACGTCTTCGTGTACGAGATGGGGCTACAAGAGCGAGACTTGATGAAGCGGGCGAAGATTGACTTCCTTAGGTTGGCGCCAGCCGAATGGACCCGTGTTGGTAAATTCACTGATTTATTATCTGTGAGTTACCTTCGTCATTTGATATAATGCTGTTGTTGATTTGATATTTCAGTATGCAGACGTGGCTCAGCAGGCGTTCTCGTCCGAATCGGGTACTACACTGCATCTTGCAATCTCTGCACTTGAGAGTCTCCATAGAGCTTGGTCTTCACGTGCAGGACGGCCAAAATATGCATGTTTTGCACCTGCATTGCACGCCGCTGCACAAAAGCTCGATGAATATTACGAGAAGACCACTGGCTCCCCAGCCTATGTCATGACCATGTGTATGTGCTGACTGTTTCATGTTCCATGTGTCTTCGATGTTAATGTTGCATGCAGTGCTTGATCCGACAGGTAAAATGTTGTATTTCAAGAAGAACTGGCCGGAACATTTGCAAGATGATGTTCTTGCTTGCACCGAACGAGTGGTATGTCTGACCGAACTATTCACCAGCTCACATTCACTTACAAACCATGTAGTTTGAGGCTCGCTATCGTGAATTGGGCCAAGCAGCATCCACGTCGCAACCATCACTGGCCAAGAAAGGGAAGGCTAGCGGGCTTAAGAAGTTTATTTGCGAGACACAAAGCTCCGAAGAAGACAACGATGACGAGACTGTTGTCACTCATACAGATCCATCTAGACCATGGTATGCGAGTTTCAAAAACTATATTGATGCTGTAGAGACAAAACCTCCACCGGGAATGAGTGCAATCCAATGGTGGGGAGTAAGTACACAACTGAGTCCATATCTTCTCGCTACTGACTGGTTCTTTGTTGTAGATCAACGGACACAGATATGGGGCAGTATGGACCTCAATTGCTCGTGACTACCTGTCAATTATGGCATCGTCAGTTTCAAGTGAGCGCGCATTCTCACAGGGCGGTATCACTATCAGCAAGCGCCGAAACCGTCTCAAGGGTGACATCGTTGAGGCACTTCAATGCTTCAAATGTGCCCTCCACCACGACGTACTCTTCCGTGAGCCTGGACCATCATCATCAATGGAGGAAGCTCTCGAGGACTTGGATATTGAGTCAGACACTAACGACTCCGAGAAGCTGAGTGATGCCGAGGATGAAGGTTGGGACACTCTTCTGGAGGGAGATGAGGATCTCATAGAATCAGACAGCAACTTCGTGTAAATAGTATATCATCCTTGTCTGAACCATTTTTCTGTTTTCAGTGCTCGGGCCGTGGCTCAGGCCGAGCCAGGCCAAAGCCAAGCCGTCATTGACGGCTTTGGCCTGGCCCGCAGTTTTTCAAAGCCAAGGCCGTCTGAAGCCAGGCCGGAGCCGCGGCTTTCAGGCCAAGCCGGGCCGTGCACATCACTAACTTAAAAGACGCTAAGCGGTCGCCTAAAATCAAACACCGCTCATCGAGCACTCATCGAGCGCATCCGACTTTTAGATTGGCAGTCCGACCTTTAGATCGGCAGCTACGGACGTTGTTTACGAGGTTCGACCTTAAATTATGCATATACTTGCTTTCCAAGATTATATGGGTGGTAATGTGGACTTAGGTCGAAAATTTTACCTCTTGGCGCGCCATATACGGTAGTGCACGTCACGTGACCCCGCCTCCCGCCGCGGTTGGGGTGCTGCGCACAGCGAGAGGACGAAGTCGCGAGGGAACGAGGCCGGATGATGGGGACTCGGAGGAACAGATGGAGGTGCTGGTGGGAGGCAAGTCTGGGAATGAACGAAAGGCTTGAGCATTAGGGCTAGGGACGTGTGTCAAGGATGTACAGTATGGGGACAGCAGTACTAGTAGGTAGTGTAACGAGCTCATTGAGATTAGTTAGAATTGGATGGGACCTACGAGACTTGGCCTGAATTAACGAGGGACAGTGGGCAACAAAAGGGAGGGAGCTTCGAAGTGTGTTGGTGCCGAAAGAAAGAAAGAAAGAAAGAAAGAAAAAGAGTCTAAAAACCATCAGCGCAGGTCAACTGGCAGAGCGCGAGAAGTATAACTCACTACTTTCGAGGGATAATATCCCCGCGCTCCTTTTTCGCGCGGTTGATTGCCCGAAGCAAAGCTGTGTGGCCCACAGTGGCCTCTGGATATGCGGCGAGGAATGCAGGCTCGTGTCCATTGAATCTAGTAGTGTGTGCATGGAATGATGATGGGTGGGGATGAGAGCAGTTCGTGTGCCCGAAAATTGCGACATCAACTCACTGGTCGAGAAACTCCAGTGCAATCACCGAGCGTTGGTGGTACTTCATCGCAAAAAACTTCTTGTTCTTCCCGCGGATCCACTCAGGCGGCCAATCTCGAAGTGGAAGTAGCAATCCGTGCTTGGGGTCACCATCTGTCCAGTGCTTCACGATCTGTCTCCAAGAGGCAGCTCTTGGGGTGTGGGTCCCATCAGGATGTCGTGTTGGGACATCAGGGATGACAAGTCCCTTCTCAGGTAGTACTAGTGAGCGGGAACCAACTTCAAGAATGGTGGCGCCGTCTGTGATTCGAGTGAGTGCAGAGGGCTGTGGGAGAGTGGAGGAGGGAATAGCAGGGTAGCATGGCTGAGACTCGGAGCTGGGTGGCAGGGATCCAGATGAGTGATGAACGATGCAGGGGTTGCCTGGGTTTGACAGCAGAGTTGACGAGTGCGGAGCATTGCACATGCCTGTGCTGCTGCGTGAGTTGGGCAGGTTAGTCAGCTGCCCGTTGTAGAGCGTGGCTGCGAGGGTGCGTAGGTCACTCCGCAGACCTGCAACGTCAGCTGAGATGCATTCATGCATCGACTGCAGGTCCTGGATGCAAACGGGCTTGACAAGCAAGTGCTCTCCAAGCAGAGATGCATCAGCTTCGTGCTGTGTTGGACAGAGGGCATCACTATGGTCGTTTTCGTAGGTGGAGAGCTCGTCGAGGAGATACCGGATGAGTGTGTCACGCTAATTGAAGTAATTCATTGTCAGAAACAGAGAAGTTCGAGTCAGTCTAAGACTCACATTCTCATTCTCTGCCCATGAACCCCACCACCTGACCCTCGCGAGAGTCCAACGCTGACCGATAGGTGCGAACATCCAACGCCACTGTGCACCACCACGTCGATAGGTGTGGGTTGTGAAGTTGTCACCTGCGCCTCGTGGGATTCCTGCTTCTGTGGTTGCTTCGTCGATCCATGCCTGAACAGTGTCGTGCGAGATAGGTTCACCACAGTGGACAATGCCATTTGCACCTATTGCAGGAAAGATATAGTCTTCGGGCTCGAGTTTTCGACCATAGTGGGCAACTTCAAGGAAGGTAAGCCAGAGTAAGAGCCAGAAGAAGCAGTCGCAGCCTGGTAAGTCTGGCTGTGGGTAGAGCTTGTACCGGTTGCCTGATGATGAGAGCAGCAGGAGGTTAATGTTCGAATTATGAACCAACAACTGGTGTAACTAGGTACTCACTCCGTAGGTCTGATTCCTTCGTGCCCTTGTCTACCCTCCGCTGCCAGCCCTTTCGGTTGGACAAAAACACCTCGAAATATGTGTGGAGGTCCTTCGAGCACAGTTTCTCGCCATTCAGATATCTTGTGAATGTTGTGCCAACTTGGAAAAAATCGATGGTCAAGTCTTTCCGTTTCAGTTTGATGAGCTCGAAGCACCTGCCATGGGTTGCTTCAAAATTTAGCAAGCAGTCTGTATCGAGTGAGCTGACCTTGTCCACAGGTTCCAGGCCGTTGTACTAAATGCTTGGTACATCGTCATCTTTGTGAGCAATTCACGCGATTCCAGTGTGAGGAGTTCTGTGCTCATCGTATCTGGTGCCAGAACTGACCTCATAAGCCCAAGGAATGTCTTTGGTGGGCAGAGTTTGTGGGTCCAGGCCAGGATTCGATCCATGAATCCTTTCGACATTGCAATGGAGTGAGTTCTGTCCCCACCCTCGCTGCTGGTCTTGTGTTTGACGGACTTGATGATGTCTTGAACCTCAGCTGACGATGCAGGGTTTCCTTCCCAGCACAGACGTGCCTCGTTGAAATGCCACCTCCCACGATAGGTATCTCCATCCCTGGATGGCACATTCCATCGAAAGCCATAAGTATGAGACTCACTGACACAGATATGGCACTCATGCTTCCTCCCAGAATTTTTTGAAGGCTGAGTAGGTCCCGTCGCACGTGCTCTGGCCACAGTTCTCATGGAAACACTTGAAGGAGATGAGGAGTGCGAGGGCCTTGTCAGAATGTTGGTTGGGCATCCTCTCGAGTGCATCCCTGAATGTGGGATCCTCGTAGGCATCAGTACTGATAGACACGGTCTCCGAATCCATGCTTGCCATAGCCCCCCTGCTAGTAGTGAAATGTGCCTTCAGCCATGTCTGTCCTCGTTCCACATATCCATTGTAGTTCTCGCGCGTCTTCTTTGCATGCTTGTGCTGTTGCTTGGCCCTTTCCTTCACCTTGTTGATGGCCGGCAGGGTGGTATTTCCTGTGGGCACTGCCCCCTTCCATCGCTTCCTTGGGCTGGCCTCTGCAGCATGAGGGGAAGGAGGCCCTTTGCACGATTTCGGCTTGGTCCTCACCATGGTCGGCCTCACGGACAAACTAAGTCAAGTTTTGGGTAGTTAAGGCGAGTTAAGCAGGAGTTAAGTGCAGGACCACCCAAAGTTGGTCGTAAATCTGGTAAATCTGTCGTAAACTCGTAAATCAGTAAATCTGAGGACCCACCGGCACAGCGGACCTTTCAGGTCACAGTGCTAAGCTCAAGTGATCCGTAAATCAACCCAAGTAGTGACTTCGGGTCGGAACACATGCTCACTATTATGTTCAAACAGACTAATAATACTATCCACTGCGTGGCACCGTCGCACCTTTTCGACAATCGGTCTTTCGACGTTGAAAGACGAAAGGGAGGCAGAAAACCGGCGGGATGGGCGCGCTTGGTCAGCAGCGGCGGGCGCGGCAGATTCCCATTTACGGTTTTTACCTGCCAAGTGTAAATTTCGTCAAATAATCTAACTTATTCAGCGTTTTTCAGCCATGTCGGGGTAGATAAGCACTGCCCATGCTACCTAACAGGAGGGTCGGACAGGCAGAATCTAGCCGCATAAGCAGCAACAACCACCGGTGACACAGGGTGACCCTTCAAGTTGTCAGCCGTGTGATGACATCGATATACTTACGACTTTCCATTGGTACTAGCAGGACGGTGATTCGTGACATCAGATGGAAAATTACGGCGCAAGGTTGACACGATCATGATGTCGTACAATTTTCATTAGGACACAACGAGTTCACAACCCTTACAGGTCAACGAGATTCTAATGCCTATAAGTATCGTACATTGGTAATCAGCAGCCCGTCCCTCACTCTTTGAATTCGCGCACGCTTTCATGTTGACACCAGAAGAACATCTCTATGCTCTTGACTGGAATAACAACATAACGGGTAAGTTCGTCAGAACTTGTTGGACACGAACCATTGTGCTGAACTTCATCATTTCCAGTTGCAATCATCACCCTGATATCCTACGACTACAGTCAGTAGCTTTCATGCTTGTAATACGGCTGAGCGTAATATTATCTAGTGCTTCAGTTCGAGAAAGAGGTAACGAGGGGGTCGTTTCATTATCGTCGAGTACTCATGATTATACTGTCGCAGGTCACGTTTGTTTGGGTTAGAGCTCAACTCCAACGATATGAAGGTCCAAAACTGACTGGTTATGCAGCAAAGGCAGTGGTCAGTGATGATATATCTATACCTTGTTGTGAGCTCCACCCTGCCAAAGTGCTTTATGGTTTCCCATTTCGTTGCTATGTCAGGTCCGATATTTTGGTATTGTCCTTGCAATGTACGTCGCGGTGCTTGTATCCTTCCGACGGCACGTTGGATGTTGACGCTGACGTCTAGGATTTGCGCCATCTGTACGTGACGTGATACCAATAAGCCATCATTGATTGACTAGCACTAGGGGGAGGTCTATTTTATATACCTGAAGCAGTGAGTATATCGATTCTTTCTTTAGAGGGTTCTAGGTTGACCTAGATTCAGCCGTACGTCAGAAGTTCGTTTTACAGCTAGCCTGATCTGCTGCTGACCTCTTGTTTAGTTGTGAGTATATCGTATCCAACTGATACTAGCTTTGCTTATCATCAAATTGAAATAGGTTATAATATGTTCGTGTTCATGCAATGGGGTTTTTCTGTATATTTTTGCTTGGCGGAAGGTATGTCGTATCCATACAGTCTCGCACCTTTGCGCTTCCCATTTTTACATTTGCAGTCATCCTCATCTGGCGTCTTTACGCCCTACATAACCAATCAAAGCTCATACTTTATGTTCTACTGGGGTTACTCCTACCTATCGTCGCGCTCTATATAGCAGTGGATGTATTTCTGTGGAGCCGGTCTTCGGCGGTCTCAGGTGAATTTCTATTTTGATCGAGTTCTTTGCAAGCTGATGCCTGGTTGTACAGTGCAAGAGATCATAATAACTCCAAATATCAAGTACTGCACGACTTTCTTCCACATCGGACCTATGCATGTGATCTATGCCTCCATCCCCGTCATATGCTATGATATTTTCTTGGTTGTTCTCGCCATTGCCATCCTCAGGAAGCACCTGAAAGAACGAAAGGGATTTGAAATGAAGCCTAACACCTACGTAGTGATGATCGTCCGACATCATGTCATATACTTTGTCCTGTAAGTTCTCTTCGTTTGCCGTGTTCTCTAAAAGCATTCATTGAATCATGCTAGGAATTTGGCAACTCAAATATTCATGGCGACATTGTGGGCCCACCCTTCGGTATGATTTCCTGTGATTCTGCAGAGATATTATCTAACGCAGGCATGCACAGACGGTGGTGCTGTATCTGATACTGTTGTTCAAGCTTACCGCACCGTTTATTATCGTGCCACGTCTCATCATCAGCATTTGGGATACGCATGCCAATGACAACTGCGTACATCTTAGTACGATGTTCGAGGATTGTGTATGTTTGACTTCGCCACCGGAATTGGAGCAGCCCGAGGATTGACTCTTGCGTATGATATCCCAAACTGAAGAAGGAAGTAGCATAAGGTCCATACTCGCCCCTGACTAGCGTACACCTCAAAAACCTATTCAACTAAATGGTTGTCTCTAGAGTTGATGGAATTTGTGGATGTAGATTCCCCGTGGATAGATGACCGGCATGCTCGACTGGGAATTCTAGGTAAGGAAGTCAGGGATAGGACTATCCTGAGCTAATCCAGTAAGTAGTTCCTGTCACTCAAATGTCATTCTTATAGCTCGCGGTCTAAGCATACCGGATGATCCTTAGATGCTGGTAACTGACAAAGGTCCGATCACATCATTTGGAAAACGACAGTAGACAGGATCCCCTCGTGGATTAGATAAAGAGTAAATGGTAGGACAATATTGTAGACACGATCATGTCGTCTGGGTATGGCTTGTTGACGCTTCCTGTGTGACGAGATTCGTCACCCTGTTCTCTGTGGCCTTTCCTTTCAACATATTCTCTATAAAGTATTCGCCAGCCTAGCAACCATGTGTGAGAAGAATCGTCCGCAACGAAAAACAAACTAAATGGCCGACCTTGTAGCTACTGCGGACAAGAGGACCGCTGGCCACATAGGAGAAACCCATGTCATCAGCTATCCGCTTCCATCTGTCAAACTCGGAAGGTTCCACATATCGATCAACTTTCATGTGTCGCTTCGTGGGCCTCATATATTGCCCAAAGGTGACAACATCAACATTAATTTTGCGAAGTTCTGAACCATGATCCAGCAATTATAATCTCGGCATAAATGCGTTCAGCTTACCTCGTAACGCATCCATGACCTGTTCTTCTGTCTCGCCGACACCAAGCATGATACTTGTCTTGGTGACGCGGACACCTTCCTTCTTCGCGTGCTCAAGCACTTTCAGACTCTGCCGGAAAGTTGCACGGCGGTCGCGCACAAAGGGTGTCAACTCCTCCACAGTCTCGATATTGTGTGCGTAAACGTCTAGGCCAGACTTCGCTACGAGAGAAACATTTTCCAAATTGCCCGCAAAATCTCCTGTCAATGCTTCCACCAGAATATGGGGCGCCCTATTTCGAACATCCTATGAGTAAGCGGCGCGAACGAAGTCAGTATGTAACGTACTTTTGCTTAATCTTCATAATAGTCTCTGCGAAGTGATGTGCACCGCCATCTACAAGGTCTGCAGGGATAATTTTAAGTCTGTGATCTGTTTATATTTGTAGTCAACACACCATCTCTGTCAACACTAGTGAGCACTATGTATCCAAGCCCCCATCGACTAATGGCCTCTGCTGTATTCTCAGGCTCGTGAGGATCCAATGGAGGGGGAGTACGGGAAGTCTTGACAGAGCAGAATCTACAACCACGCGTACAGGTGTCTCCCATCAACTAAAAGGAGTAAAATTAGTCAAAAGGACAGTAATTCCAGTATCACGTAGCACACCATGATTGTAGCCGTTGCTGCCCTCTTGCCCTCCTCAGCAGTTGCACCTTCCTTTCCACCCCAGCAGTCACCGATGTTGGGACATCGTGCCTCCTCACATACAGTATGAAGGCCGAGTCCCCTTAAGTCCTTCTTGATCTTGTTGAAAGATGCTCCCGAGGGTATTTTTGTCTTTAGAAAGCTAGGTAGCCGAGGCCTGTAGTGAATGAATAGGCATTATTCCCAGAAAATCATGTTAGTGCATGCGCACCCTTTGGTGTTCCCGAGCACTACATGTTCTATGGGTTCTCCTGAGATGAAGTCGTCTAGCGATGGTCCAGAGACCAGCGTTTCGCGGAAACTAGACTTTAAATTCGGCGTTGAGGCTGACGGTATTGCCAAGTGTCGAACTCGATACGAAAGTCGACAGCTGGAACGGGGGCGGAAGAGTGAGTTTATGAAGAGCAAATGGGCCGACATCGTGACGGAGGACAACGCATGTAATGAATCGGAAGAGCGGCGACCCACATCGACAAAAAAGGCAATTCTATCAGCGCTTGGCGGGATCAAAATTAAGAGTCAGGTTGTCCTCATGAACACGCTTTCCAGAAGGGAGGAGGACACACTCCTTAAAACTACTAAAGCGCGCGCGTTAACAGAATGTGACTCGATAGTTAAAGGTTCGGCCATGCATTATAGCATGATTCAAAACACTTATATTGGCTTCGTGTCACTTAGAATTCGCCAACTGCGCAACCGGACGTACGCTGTCTGTGGCATGGGCTTGCAGGGACAAGTACAAAGCCTTACAGGAGTGTATGCTACAATAGTGAGTCCTACCGCACTCAGTGTCTGGTACATCGAGTCAATGTTTTTCAGCACAAGTCAAGTAGCCATGGATGATGTTCGAAAGGAATATCTTCGATTAAGGGACCAACAGAAAGCGCCTCAAGCACCTCTTTAACGATGACGCGTGACGGGGTATCTTGATAGTGTTTTTCGCCTTCGAAAACGCAAGGCATATCCCCAGGTACACACGGTGATCATACACTATCCACAGTTTTATCAGTCTATGACCCGAGGACGCTCGAATGTGTGGTGTAGTCATAGATTGAACAAAAGTAGAGGAACGTGCAGACCCTGGGGCGGGAAACATCGAATACTAGCAGAAGTATAGACAATAGTGATAGGCAGTGTGTTATTACAGGGAATCTCAGTTTTTCTTTCCATTGTTGATTGCAAGCCATTGAGCACGAAGACCCATGAAAGAGGAAATGAAACTGAACACGATAATCTATCAGGTGAGCACAGTAAAAGAAACCACTGCCAAACTAACCCAGCAAAGCCAACAACCCCGTCATTGACATTGACGAGACCCAAGTTGGAAGCAGGTATCCAAATGTCGAAAAGGTCGATGATGAATTGGTGGCGTGTGTCCGCGCGCAGGCTATAGGTATCTTAGAGCTATTTGTGATATAGTAGTGATGATTTCAACGTACTTTTCAAGCGCGAGTTGCCTGACTTCTCTTTGAGCTTCATCGCTGAGATCTTTTTCTCCCCAGGTCTCGGAGTTACGCAATTTCTTTGCGTCGTGAGCGAGTCGTCCGGCCTGGAAAATGGAAATTGAAGTCACTATCCTAGCTGGGCGATAGGTCCCACCTTCAGCAGTCCATGCGTAATGCTGAATAAGATTCCAGCCAGCCAGAATCTGTTGGATGTCTTTGTGACCCTGTCAGCAGTGTCGGGCTTGAGAGCAATGAACTTTGCGGCGTTCGCCTGTCGAATTATTTCAGGAGTGGTAAAACCATCCATGGATCACTTGTTACTTACCCACAGAGCTGTGTCATATGTGAGATACCCGAAGTAGGCAAGCTGCCGACCGATGCTAGTCACTTGTTCACCAACTTCACCCGATGATGAAGCAACACGCAATGCGGCTTGGAGGTGCTCTACAGGTTTTCCAAGTCGCATGACTGTACAAATGTCAAGTATGATCATGCGGCACAGATGACCCTTACGTTTACGGACAATCCCTAGGTGACTCTTGAGAGCTGTCCATCGAGCAGCTTCGACCTTGTTACCCCGAGAGACGAGAAACCAGGCGAGAAACCGAGAGAAATACTGAACTGTGCGGTAGAGCTACCGGATAATGTGCTCCGATAAGTATTCCGTTCCCAAAAACAATGAGGTTCAATACCTTATCCCGGCCAACATTGAATGATCCAAATTTCAAGGACTGAGACACATAAGGGTGGAGGATGACTTGTGATGCGACTGTAGCCATATCTGAAAAGTACAAATGACGGATTCCCGCAAGACGAGGGAGGTGCTTTAAATGCTACTTGAAGGCTTTACTAGATGCGGGACCTGGCGTAATTACCTTGCCGTTATCACGTGGAATCAAGTTTACTACTTTCATATACCCGATCACCGGTGTGACGGCGTCCTCATGCGCATGATTTCAGACTTCACAAGAGCAAGTACAAGACACGACAATGGAACCATAACATGTCTCAATTCAAGCACGAGTCAAAGGTATGGAAAAAGCCATCTATTGAGCGGCTATTAGATCTATCATTATATATGCCAGACGCGGCGATGACTCGATATCTGATTTATAGGCAGACGGTAAATACGAACCGATAATCACACTGGAATAATGAAAGCGGTACCACGATGTCTAGCTGCCAGGCCTTGAAGGTCACTACTGGAAAGGAGACCCATTCTCAGGTGTGGCCCCCATCGAACTTCGGTGGGTTTCTTGCGGGTGATTTCGGACGGCAAAAGCCGCGTGTAACGTTTGCCTCGCGGGTTGACACAACCTTCTGCCCTGCCCTCCACTCGCTGTGCTTTCATCACTGCTAGAGACTGCTAGTCATGACTACAGGCACTTGGCTTCCTCGCCGGGTGAGTTCTGCGCGCTAGTTCTCACGTGACATATCATTCATTCATGTCATACTTCAAGCTCCTCCATGTGGTTCCTCGTCAAAGGCAATTTTCATCATCCGTCGTAGTAAGTTAGGTTAATGAGCTTGAAGTGGGAGGAAATAATGGTCGTGTTAGTCAAATCAGGCATTCCGCAGTGAGCGTGATACGTTCGGTGAGCTCCAGGTCCCTGCCGATCGCTATTGGGGTGCACAAACGCAACGGTATGGATCAGGTCTGAGGTGTGTGCTCTACTGAACAATCTCCGCAGTTCATTACAAAACTTTGATATTGGTGGCCCCTCGCAACGATTGCCGCATCCTCTGATCAAGGCTTTCGGCGTGTTGAAGAAGGCTGCAGCTATCGTCAATGTCAGCTATGGTATGGACCCGAAGGTTGGCGAAGCCATTCAGAAAGCTGCTGATGATGTGAGAGATCATGTCCTAGGCTTCGTATGTGTGCTTTCAGCTGATCTTTACTCCAGGTCATTTCTGGGAAGCTCATGGATCACTTCCCCTTGGTTGTCTTTCAAACTGGAAGTGGAACTCAGAGTAACATGAACGTAAACGAGGTTAGTATAACAAATACTTGATTAATTAGTGTTGTTACTCAGCGTGGTCAACAGGTAATATCGAATCGTGCGATAGAACTCCTTGGCGGTGAACTTGGGTCTAAGAAACCAGTCCATCCGAATGACCATGTTAACATGAGCCAGAGTAGTAATGACACGTGAGTTACCGGGTAGCTTATACTTGATTGCATGTATTTAACGAACATGTAGCTTCCCAACAGCTATGCATGTCGCTGCTGTCACTGAAATTAATCACTCGTTACTTCCAGCACTGACGCAGCTCAGGGATGCACTTAACGAAAAGGCCGAGCTTTTCAGCGGGATTATCAAAATCGGACGCACGCACTTGCAGGTATGAATAATCGGCCTTCGATGCGGATGTTATCTGATCACGATTAGGATGCCACACCTCTGACGCTTGGCCAAGAATTCAGTGGATATGTCCAGCAAATCGATAATGGCATTGCTCGTGTCCAAAATGTCATTCCTCGTTTGAGCCTTCTTGCTCAGGGCGGCACTGCGGTTGGCACAGTGAGTCCGTTAACATTCAGCGAAGGGTAGAGATCTCACGTGCCGTGCAGGGTCTGAATACCAAGAAGGGGTTCGACGTCAAAATTGCCGCCGAGATATCTACCATTACGGGCTTGAAGTTCCAGACCGCGCCTAACAAGGTAAGGCAATTTATGGCGATCGTTTTGTCTGACTACTGACGAAGATCCGCAGTTCGAAGCTCTAGCCAGTCACGATGCCCTGGTTGAGACTCATGGTGCTCTGAATGTCATCGCGTGTTCCCTGATGAAGATCGCCAATGACATTAGGTTCCTTGGTTCTGGCCCTCGGTGTGGCTTCGGCGAACTGAGCCTCCCTGAAAATGAACCTGGCAGTAGTATCATGCCTGGCAAGGTTAATCCCACGCAGTGCGAGGCTGTAACAATGGTCGCCGCTCAAGTTATGGGTAACCAGACTGCTGTTAGCGTTGCTGGAGCCAGCGGACAGTTTGAGGTATTTGTATTTCATACACGGCGCATTTGTCATTCAAACCCGAATTAGCTCAATGTCTTTAAACCGGTCATGATCATGAACGTGCTACAGAGCATCCGCCTTCTTTCTGATGGTGAGGTTTCATAACTCAATGACTCGTTGTCAACCTGCTGATCTTTGTATGGTCAGCCTCACGGTCTTTTACCAATCATTGCATAGTTGGCATTGTGGCAAATGAAAAGCGTATCAACCACCTCTTGAACGAGAGTTTGATGCTTGCAACGATTTTGAACAGCCACCTTGGCTATGACAGTGCGTGCTAAATATAGCTCCGCACATTTCCGGTCGAAGTTAATCGTACTTTGCAGACGTGGCCCAGTGCGCAAAGAAAGCGCACAAAGAAGGAACGACGCTGAAGGAGGCGACTATTGCGCTCGGATACCTGACACCTGAAGAGTTTGATGAGAAAGTGCGACCAGAATTGATGTTATACCCAGATGACATATAGTCACAAGATGGTACTGTTGCATGATATTTGTAACATGGAGACCCCATGCCAGCCTCTTGTGAAACAGTATGACACAGTTGGTAACCAACTCGTGTCAATTTAATCGATAAAGAATGCGTAGGTTACTGCGAGTGGTGTGAAGATCTGATAGAGAGAAGCTCGTCCGCCAAGAACAGCAAGGAAGGAACAGCGAATACAAAAAAGGCAAGAATGCTATATCCAACCGCAAACGAAATATACCACGTCAAATCAGTACAACTTCCCGTCACAGCACTCCCTCGTCTCTACTCGTAATTTGCACAGCAACAGTCTTCCTCGTTATCCACACCGAGCTCACACTTTTTAACCCGAAAATTCTTAGTTGGTGCTCATCACCGTCAACGTCGACCACAACACCACTTTATTTAGCTTCTGAAGAAATATTCGGGCATTAGGTTGACTGCCACAGCGCCCTTCTCTTTACATCTCCTGGTCCCACGAGGCGACCTGTCTTTACAACATTTAAGTCGGCTACTGCCTCATTATATCCTCCTCTCTTTGCATCTTACTTGTCACCACTTTGGTTCTCTATGTCGCTTAGCCGAATTCTCAACGACGAACCATCCCCGGCGAGAAAATCCGCTTCCTCACGTGGTGGTGGTATCGATCCTTCGTTAGCAGACGTGTCACCTCTCTCCCGGGCCACAGTCATATCTCCTCATCCCCAAACTCTTCGTCGGAGTCTAACTCCTCTCGGAGAGCAGCCACCACTTCCTCGTGGATATTCTTACCAGACACCCTCTTATCAGGGTGCCGGAGGTTGGGATCCATACTCGGGTGATTACGTTCAGGGAGAGATCTTTCCTCTTGGTCCAGGAGGCAACTACTATTCTCAGCGTGAACGGGATGGACAGCACCAGCCTCCACCTCCAGAACCCCGCGCATCTTCCATGGGCGCTTACTACAAGGAAGGCGAAAACGAACCCACACCGCGAAAACGGAGAAAGCCTGTAGCTCCAGACGACGACCCCGATTACCAGCCTCCGATTGTAAAGCGCGTAAGTTTCATCAGGCATACATAGGGCTAATTCGGCTTTACTCACCTTCCTATTCTTATCCCTTAGGCACCCCGTCGAAATCCTCCTCGTTCAAAAGCAAATCGCCCCGAGTCGCCTCTTATGGAGGGAACGGATCTTGCAACAGCTGCACGAGAGTACCATCAAACTGAAGAGGAACGACGTCTGGTATCTTCCGACCTTTCGGATTGTGAAGAAGTATGGATTGGTGACCTCAGCGACTATATCATAGAGACACATCTACGCCAGCGTAAAGTAGAATCGTGGTTTGATGCCAGCGTTTTGGTTAGTTTTACATCTGCGACTTCCGGTTGGTTGATTCACATTTCATCATAGGAACGCAACTCCAGCACGGCACTGACACTGTCACGCCACTATGTGTCCCGCATTGCACGGATGCCCCTTCCGCCTCCAACGCCCCCGCCGATACCTCCTTCTGTTGAGGAGGAGCTTCTATCCACTATTCACGCTTCCCCACCTCCCGATACATATGATTATGGAGCTCCGGATAACTACGAACCTGGCTCGACTAGATTTGGCGCAGAAGACGCGGCTCGGTTGTTTGAGGAGTCTTACCTAGGTCGCAATCAGAAGCACAAGGACTCACTCAAACGTGGTGCAGATGGTGCAGATTCAGACGAGAGCAGTGACCTTGAGATTCCTGCTTCATCCAGAAACAAACCTGCAGCAAAGAAACGGAAGGTCGACAAAGACTCTGCTTCAATCGCTGACGAGTTCGAACGGTCTATCGGCGGGATCAGCCCTTCCAAATTCGCTTCATCAAAGGCGAAAACGAAGGGCAAACAGAGTCTGTTGCGGGAAGCGAGCGCGGACAGTGTTATACCAAGTGCAACACCTAAAGGTCGTAAGAGGGGTGGTGGCGGGAAGAAGCTTTTACCACCTGATACTCTGGAGGGCCTTGGCATTGCCTCCGCTGGAGCATCGGTCGCTGGAGACATCACGCCTTCGGCATCCAGGCCTGTATCGCCTGCTCTCACTGCAACTTCTGTTGTATACGAATTAGATGACATCATCCCTCCTCTCAAGCGCGCTAAAAAGATCGATGAGAATGCTATGGCCAAACGATTGAAGAACTTGGAGGAGGCTCAGAAGAAAGTTTGGACAAACATTGCTCGGAGAGATGTTGCTAAAGTATGTGCGGGTCTTGCATTACGTACTGTTTGCATTCTTATCTCGTCGCATAGGTATACAAGTACGCCGCGATGGGTTACCAGGCTCGTCAAGGTCAGCTCAAGCGCTTAGCCACGCTATCATCCATCCAAGCACGCCGGCCTTTCACAAAGACCGCAAAAGCTCAAAAGGACGTCCAAGCTAAAGGCAAACGCTTGATGCGCGAAATGTTAGTCTTTTGGAAGAAGAATGAGCGGGAAGAGAGAGATGTTCGAAAGCGCGAGCAGAAGGAGGCCATTGACAGGGCCAAGATCGAGGAAGAGAAAAGGGAGGCGGCGCGTCAAGCACGCAAACTTGAGTTCTTGATCAGTCAGACTGAGTTGTACAGCCATTTCGTCGGTAACAAGCTCAAGAGTGAGTCCTGTTTCTCGGTGCTCTAGTGGCTGTTCGCTGACGCCCAGACCTCAGCTTCTGAAGTACAAGGAGATACTCCTGAGACCTCGACGCCAGTGGGTGCTGCTCTTGAAGACGTTGATCCATCAGTACTTCAAGAAATTGACTTCGATGACGGTTGGTTTCATTTATCCGTATCTTGACAATTTGGAGGTTGAAAGTTATAATCAGAGGACCAGACCAATCTTCACCGACATGCGCGGCATAACGCTCAGGAAGCTATCGCTCTTGCCAGACAAAGGGCTCAGCAATTTGACGTGCAAGCTGCACTCGACAGGAAAACGAATGAGGCTCTGAAACTTGCCAAGGCTCAGGCCCATATTAGGGACGATGACGAGTCTGGGCTCTCAGGCACTTCGAATACGCCCCTCGTTGACTGTAAGTTCTTCTTCGGTGATGAGGCTTAAGAGATTCACAATGGTGTACACAGTGGACTCCGATGAACTCAACTTCCAAAACCCGACGTCACTCACTGGAGAACTCAAGATCAAGCAACCGAAAATGCTCATGGCGCAGCTAAAGGAGTACCAACTCAAAGGTCTGAATTGGCTCGCTACGTTGTACGAACAGGGTATCAACGGCATTCTTGCTGACGAGATGGGTCTCGGAAAGGTGAGACTGATTAGAATACTGCGCAACTCGCCTTACACTCCTTGCACCTCAGACCGTGCAGTCAATATCTCTCCTTGCGTACCTTGCTGAGGTACACGACATATGGGGGCCATTTCTGGTCGTCGCACCAGCCTCTACATTGCACAATTGGCAACAGGAGATAACTCGCTTTGTGCCTGGTCTGAAAGCCCTGCCTTATTGGGGGAACGTTAAAGACCGAACTACCTTGCGCAAGTTCTGGAGCAAAAAGGAAATCAGTTATGACAAGGACGCACCGTTCCATGTCCTGATTACAAGCTACCAGTTGGTCAGTTGCGATTGCATTTTGTTTTAAGCTGTGTTAATGTCTTTGTCAGGTTACTCAAGACCAGCAGTACTTCCAGCGCGTGAAATGGCAATATATGGTTCTCGACGAAGCTCAGAATATCAAGAATGCCTCCAGTGTACGGTGGAAAACATTGCTCGGATTCCAATGTCGCAATCGTTTGCTCTTGACTGGCACACCAATTCAAAACTCAATGCAAGGTCAGTGAGATAGGGCAGCAGTGTCACTACTTACTAACCTCCACATAGAGCTCTGGGCATTACTCCACTTCATCATGCCCAGTCTTTTTGACTCCCACGACGAGTTCAACGAGTGGTTTTCTAAAGATATTGAAAACGCCGCAGAGAACAAGGGCAGCAAGCTCAATGAACGTCAACTACGGCGATTGCACATGATATTGAAGCCTTTCATGTTACGGCGAGTCAAACGACATGTACAAAACGAGTTGAGCGAGAAGGTTTATATTCAATTCACTCACCGAGGAGCGATCGCTCACATTTTACCTTACCCAGATTGAGATCGATCATTACGTTGACCTGTCATCACGCCAACGTACTCTCTACCGTGCACTTCTGGCGAATGTATCTGTGGTAGATCTATTAGAGAAGGCTGCAAACATAGGGGATGCTGATTCTGCTCGATCGCTAATGAACCTCGTAATGCAGTTCCGGAAGGTGAGTAAGATATGGTCTTATCGTTTCTAAACACTGACCAACTTACTTCAATGTAGGTTTGTAATCATCCCGAGCTCTTTGAACGTGCAGACGTGGTAGCTCCCTTCTCATTCTCCCGCTTCGGTCAATCTGGTCCTCTGAATCGCGAAGGCGATTTCATTTCCCTTCCTTACTCGACTCATAACCCTATTGAGTACCAAATTCCGGCGTTATTCCACCAAGATGGCGGGCTTATAGATGTCCCTTGTGAAAAGTCTGGACTGCGTAGGCAATCGGACTGTACCAGTGGCCTTTTCAATATTTGGTCAACGGAGTGGATACATCGTTCGACGTTCGATGATGTTGAAGGTGTGTGATGGTGCTTGAGTGACTGCGCCTTGGATGTAACATGTTATAGCTTCACCTGCGTTCGCATTTCTTCGACTTCTGAACACCACACCGAGTGATGTTCATGGCCTTCAGGTGTCTTCTTTCATGCGCAATTGGCTTCGGGTCCTTGAGGAAGAAAACAGGATTGTTGAGGATAGAGGGATCTCATCGTAGGCTAACTATGACTTTTTTTTCGACGTCCGACTGACCGTTTCATAGGGGAGCAGAATTGGTAGCTCATACTGGTGCACATCCGTTCAGCATAGGCCCCCGTCTCTCTTTGAGCCTGGATGCCGCAGAAGGCCTGCCACATCTTCTCGATATATCTTCAACAGCTTGGCAGGGGTCCAATCTAGCTCGACCAGCCCTGAGATGGTTTGTGCCGCCGGCTGTAGCACCTCCAATATCTCTTCACTGCACAGATCGGACGTTTATAGAGCATCAAGTTCAGTTATTGGAGGCACCTATGGAATCGTTGGCATTCTACGGTCTCCCTCAGCACTTGCGGGATTCGCTTACCATTGACCAGGCATACCACAGCCTAGTTCCTGCTTTATCCTCTGCAGGACTTGTCGGAAGTTCGCCCGCAGACCAGCTACCATCTTCAAGCATGCAGATACCAGAAGCAAAGAGACTGATATATGACTCTGCTAAACTCGCTCGGTTAGATGCCCTCCTTCAGGAGCTGAAGGCAGGCGACCATCGTGTCTTGATATATTTCCAAATGACTCGTATGATGGACCTTATGGAGGAATATTTGATCTATCGCCAGTACAAGTATCTACGTCTTGATGGTTCGTCGAAGCTGGAAGATCGACGAGATATGGTGATAGATTGGCAAACACGGTCAGTGCTTGACTTAGGTTGTATATCATTGATTCTGATCGATGTCCTCTAGCCCGGACATTTTCATATTTATTCTAAGTACGCGTGCAGGTGGTCTCGGAATCAACTTGACCGCAGCAGACACTGTCATCTTCTACGACCACGACTGGAATCCGTCAAACGATGCGCAGGCCATGGATCGCGCCCATCGTCTTGGTCAGACACGTCAAGTGACTGTCTATCGCCTGATCACGAAGGGCACCATCGACGAGCGTATCATTCAGTTAGCTCGTGTCAAAAAAGATGTAAGTTATTTTTATTCCTGAAGTGCAGGACGTTCAACTGATGCTCTTCCAGGTACAAGACATCGTGGTCGGCAACAAGAACTTCACAGACGTCACAAAACCCAGCGAAATTGTCCAACTTCTCCTCAATGATGACCAGCTCGCAAACCTTGATAGTTCGAATACTTCGGGACCCTCTTCGAAGAAAGCAGGCAAGCGAGCTGTAGGAGTTTCGGAGGGCCCTTCTGGCGATACTATGCGAGATCTTTGGAATGAAGAAGGCGATGACTTCTTTGGTCATTCCAGTAATAATAGTGGTGCCGCTCCACCACC